CAGCCATGCACATAGCAAGCATAAATAACTATCCCTCAGTCCATACATTTATGGAGATTACAGGCGAGCAGGAGCGGAGTAAGAACTAATAAGTAAGACTAGTCTCAGTCTCTGGAATAGAACTCTGCATTGACAAGACGTGTACCTAATAAGTAAGACTACTACATTTCATTAGCTTTGGTTAAGACAACTGTAAGGTATAGAAACTCACATCTCAGTCTCTGGAATAGAACTGAGACGCTCATCTGCGGGTACGCTAAACTTTATACTGTAGGTTATTCTCTTATCTGGAATATTAGAATGAAACAAAGATTATCACTAGGTTCGGGGCCGACGTCACTCATCCTTCGTTCCTGGTCCGTGCCTCTGCGCTCGGACCTTCTACTCGTCATCCTGTGCCTGCTCTTTGGTCGTCTCAGATTCCAACACTCCCCCTCAAGCGCAAGCTAGTCCCATTTGAGTTCTAAGCTTATGCAGACGCGGGCGCGCTGGAGCCTTGGTAAAAGCGTCGGCTACGTTCTCCTCGGTGGGGCAGTAGAGCAACTTGAAGGTTCCGTCTCTGACGTGCGAACGAACGAAATGGTAACGCAAATCGATGTGTTTCGTATGCGACTGAAACTTGGTGTTGGATGCTAGCGCGATAGCAGCCTGGTTATCGCAGAAGATTGGGATGGGGAGAGTGGGCGCTTCATAGAACTCACTGATGAGGAGTTTTAAGTAGAGCAGTTCGCGTATCACGCTGGTAAGTGCGATGTATTCTGCTTCCGCAGTGGATAGTGCGATTAACGGCTGTTTGCGCGCACTCCAGGCGATTGGTCCTCCATTCAGTGTCACAATGTACCCGGACATCGAATGTCTATGGGACTGTGACGCCCAATCTGTGTCGATGAGCGCTTCTAGTCCGCCATCTGTTGGACCTAAGGTGAGCTCAAGCGAATCTGTGCCTTTCAGATAATGCAGGGCGCGTTTAGCTGCCTCCCAATGTGCTCTGCCTGGGCTGCGCATAAACTGTGATAGAGTCACGACTGAGAAGGCGATATCTGGCCTTGTACTGGTCGCTGCATACATCAGTGACCCAATAGCACGTTGGTACGGTACGTCCTTCATAGCTGCGATCTCAGAGTGAGTGGCAGGGGATTGATCGTTTGATAGGCTAAGTCCTGGTTCCATGGGAGTCTGCACGGCTTTGGCATCGCCTAGACAGAAATGCTCGACTATGGTGGCGACATATGCCTTCTGTGAGAGTGTTAAGGTACGTGCTGCTCTATCGCGCGTTACCTTTAACCCCAACAACCACTTTAACTCGCCTAGATCGGATATTTCGAAGAACTGTTGAAGTTGGGACTTGAAACAGTGGATATGGGATGTATGGTTCGTGGTTATGGCCATGTCGTCGATGGAGATGGTGATGACCATCTGTTCGCTCAAGGTACGTTTGAAGTACACCGCTTGATCAATACTTGACCTACTGAATCCCAGCTTCTTGAACACTCCTGCTAGCTCCTCCGCCCACTCAAAACCTGCCTGTTTAAGGCCGGTAAGCTCCTTATCAACCTCAACACCTTTCCGCTCTGATCCTCTCTCAAATATCCCGGTGGCGCTCGCATGTAGATCTCTTCTCGGATGCTGGCATACAGGTAAGTGCTCTTGATGTCAATTTGATGAATTTCCCAGTCTTGCTGAGCGGCCATTGCTAGAACCGTACGGATCGTGCTCATATTGGTGGTAGGTGCAAAGTATCTAAGTAGTCCACTCCGTATTTCTGCCGCTGGCCGTTCGTGACAAGGCGAGCGCGAAGCTTCAGCTTCTCACCGTCGGGTCCTCTCTTGGTCGCCAGAACATAGTGGCATGGTATGATGTTTGTGCCTCACGGTAAGTCAACAACCTCCCAGGTACCTAACTTTTCGAGTTGGCTAATCTCATAATCCAGGGCTTCTTTCCACTCAACGGCATCAGGGCCGTTAAGCGCCTGCTGTAAGGTAGGCTCTGGTTCTGCAGCTGCTAACGCTAGGTAAATGTGAGCTTCTTCGTCCAGAAGATCCAGCGCTGACGCTTCTAACAGGGAATCTAGCGCTAGGGATGTGGTCTCCCCCTCATTGAGGGATGCATAATATCCTGGAGGTGGCCTGGTACGAGTTGTCCTCGGGGCTGGTGGGGTTGTGGGACGATGGGGTTGGAGTCTGGCTGGGGTTGCTGGTGGCGGGATGGGCTGAACGACAGGTACATTGTTGTCTTCATCGTTGCACACGATGCTGGACTCCTCCTCATTCAGCGTATCCTCCACCACTATCACGTCTCCAGATGCGAAGGTAACATTTCGTTCAACAGAAACCCATCGCTTACCCGGCCAGTAGACTCTATAGGCCTTGCTCACTACATCCACTCCCACAAATATCGCCTCCTCCACCCTTGGTTTGAGCTTCCCTGCATCCTGCAGGTGCACAAAGGCTCTCACACCAAATCCGTGCGCTTGTTGCAGGTTTGGCTTCTCATTTCGGACAAGTTCAAACGGCGTGGTATCTGGGGTAGCCCTCGATGGTAAACAGTTTTTCAACCAGGTCGCATAATTGACTGCCTTGGCCCACAGATACTTAGGCAAATCCTTTGTGATGAGCATCGCCCTAGTGTGCTCCACAAGCGTGCAGTTTAGTCACTCCGCAACGCCATTCTGCTGCGGTGAGTCATGGACCATCAATTGACACTCTATCCCTTGCTGGCGCAGATGCTGATTGAACTTGGCAGACATATATTCACCACCACAGTCCAAACGAACTTTCTTCAGCTGAGTCCCTGGCGCTTGACGGCTCACCCAGGCTTCATAAGCCTTAAAAGCGGTAAGTGCTTCGCTTTTGGCCTTCAGGAAGTGCAGTACGGTCTGGCAACTGTAGTCATCAGTAAAACTGATATAGTACAGACTCCCACTGATGCTGGCCGTTTGAGCCAGTCCCCACAGGTTGGTATGGACTAGCACGCCATAGGTGCGTGCCCAGGTCATACTGTCATTGGGAAAAGGCTTCCGCGCTGACTTTGCCTTCATGCAGGCATTGCAGAATTTGGGCTTTGAGCTGGGGTCCAATTCGACACCCGTGATAAGGCCCTTGCAGACAGCATCGGCGGCTGCGGTCTGGGATACATGCCCCAGGACTCTATGCAACTTGTTAACAGTGAGTTTGGACTAGGCGATGTTCACGTGATGCTGAGACATCCTTCCCGCAGCTATGCTACAGAGCCCTTCCACCTGCGGTATCTCCGTTATCACTTGTCACTTCGGTCCGTGGGACAGCACTTTGCACATACGGCCTTCAAACAACATGGCCATCCCAGCCTCCGTGATCCAATTAGTGGATATCAGGGTGAACGCCATAGCAGGTGTGTACAGCGCGTTCTTGAGTGTGACCTTCGTGTGCTTGTCACTGAGGGGTAGCTCTAAATTGACGTCTCCTCGCCCAACAGCACTTAGACTTGAGCCGTCTGCTGTGTGGATCTCCTGGGGGCTTATGCTGACGAAGTTGGTGAACTTTGCCCTGTCCAGGCAGAAGTGGGAGGTAGCGCCCGAGTCAACAATCGCACTGCGTCTATCGGCGGGTACTTTGATGGCCTTGGCAATGGTTGCCAAGTCCGACGTCATAAACGCGTACTGGTCCTGGGATGGAGCATCCACGGCTGAGTTTGCCATCTCACTCTGTACCTTTTCACCCTTCTTCTGTTGCTGACCTGGGCCTTGGCCCTCTTTCCCTCCACCAGGCCTCCAGCAATCTGACTTGTAGTGACCCTTTCGGTCACAGTTATAACAAGTCACATCTGCGTTAGCCTTACTTGATGGGCCTGACCGCTTGCCTTTGCCTTTCGTCTCTTTCGCGCTAAGTGCACTACCACCACCACCTTTCTTACCAGGTCGCTTCTCGGTAAGTTGACAGTGTTCATATTCCTCGGTAACGATAGTGATTAATTCATCAGAGGATAAGGGGGTCTTGGTGATTTTGGCAGTCGCATTAATGGATGAGAGGAGTGGGTGGTATAACTCAGGGAGTGACCCAAGAATAATGGCATGGAAGTCCGTATCGAGGATCGCCGCGCCCATACCTGCGAGTAACTCGCGCAAGCATAGTAGTTCACCGAAGTGAGCTTTAATGTCTCCTCCTTCGTTGCATCTCGTCTCATGTATCCGCCTGCGCAGATCGATTTGTACAAGCTCGGTCTTGCCTTCATGCATCAGGCAGATCTCCTCCCATACTTCAGAGGCGGTCTCATATTTCTGCACGCACAGCAACAGTCGGTCCGTAATGGTACTAAAAATCTGTTGCTTGACCAGTGAGTTCTTTTGGTCATATTCGTCCATTTTCTTATCGTGCTCCTTGATCTCCTTCTGCATAGGAGTTGTGTCCTTCGGGAAGGGAAACGGCTCGGTTGCATGACCATCTGCATACCACATCAAACCTCTGGCACCGATCGCCGTCAATGTTTGTTCCTTGCAGGTAATCCAATTTGTGCCATCTTTGGCAAGTTTCGGGACGTTGAAGAGCGAGGCGGTTGTGCCGGGGAGCGTATTATCAACAGCCATGTCAGGGCTCATAACCTGTGGAGATTACATGCGAGTGGGAGCGGAGTAAGAACTAATAAGTAAGACTAGTCTCAGTCTCTGGAATAGAACTCTGCATTGACAAGACGTGTACCTAATAAGTAAGACTACTACGTTTCGTTAGCTTTGGTTAAGACAACTGTAAGGTATAGAAACTCACGTCTCAGTCTCTGGAATAGAACTGAGACGCTCGTCTGCAGGTACACTAAACTTTATACTGTAGGTTATTCTCTTATCTGGAATATTAGAATGAAACAAAGATTATCACTAGGTTCAGGGCCAACATCACTCATCCTTCATTCCTGGTCCATGCCTCTGCGCTCGGACCTTCTGCTGGTTGTGCTCGGACCTTCTGCTGGTTGCGCTCGGACCTTCTACTCATCATCCTGTGCCTGCTCTTCGGTCGTCTCGGATTCCAACAATGTTTACCTTCACTGTAGACGGACAGACGTTTTTTAATCCAGTCGTTCACAGAGACCTCACTGGTGTAAGGTCACTCATTTGTTCTATCCACCATACTAACGATCAACTGCAAGACCAATGTCCTCATCAGTAGTGATGGAACTGCATATCTTGCAGATTTTGGCCTTTCGGGAACCTTAACAAAATCGCCTGGCATGACGTATCTCGCGAAGATGAGCTGTCATCCAGGAGCAATGTGGTGGACAGCTCCTGAGCTTCTTTCTGGGGAAGACTCAGCTTCTGCGATCACCACTCAGAGTGACATGTACTCCTTTGGTAGCATCATGCTTCAAGTATGTAAGCCGTTTCCTTTTATTAATGCAGCTTACTAATTCGCCCTACAGGTTTTGACTGGAAGTGTCCCTTGGCGACACTTGACGAATGACACCGCGATCTTGCTAAAAGTGATTGAAGGAGAAATACATCCCCGTCCAGACAATTGTTGTGTCACCGACCAGTGCTGGAACTTAATGACTCGTTGCTGGTCTAAGTCACCCATCGATCGGCCTTCTGCTGAAGAAGTACTTCAATTTGTTAACAGCGAGCTCGCTTTGTACATTTGTGGTGATGCGAATGGTGGCAGACTGCACCCTGCCTTGGTTCCCGTTCCTAAAAATGCGCCTCCACTTGTTGGTCCGTCCCCTTCATTACCAACGCACCATGCAGAGAGCGAGAATTATAGCATCATATCCTCTGGACACCTCTTACCCACCCCCGATACCATGATACACAGTACCCCAACATCGTCTATATCCAGTGACAAGAAATGCCCAAATATAGCACCCCTGCATGTCTCATCACCATATCGCCATCCCAACCTTCACACCCCCGTTGTATTTTCGGCCATGTGCCAGTGGGATGCTCATTCCACTGAGCCTCATGGAGGTGCTTTGCACCCGTCTCCTTCGCAGAGCAGTCCTCTTCCAAATGGCAATTATGAACCATCACAAAATAATACAGGCGCTACGCGATACTGCAGGTCTCCAGAAGGATATTCAGCCCTTTTCACCACCCCACCTACCACTTTATTCCCTCCTTCTGAACTACCATTCTTGGGGCTTGATTGCATTTGCAACTATGGTTCTTCAGTCGGCATCGACCCAAATTCTGTCTGGCAGACTTTTGACGCTGGTGCATTTGGGTTCGACCCTGAATTACCCTTTACCCTTGGTGATGCTTCATCAGAGATCCTTGCTACCGCCTTAGAGCCTTTACAGGACACTTGCTAATTGTGTTTTCTTAGTCAAAATTTTACTTTTACCTCCTTTCCATCTATCGTAAATGATACGCAGTTCGGTGGTTGACTATATGCGGTGACTATATCACGAGACTGTGATGGGCTAAGTTAGTGATCGGAGTCTTCTTTTCTCCTACATGCCCTCGTTGATCTAGGAACAACATCATATGTTCACCACATATCAATCATGATGATGATGTGAACATAGCACTAAGTACCGGCACTAGTTCCCCACAGTTGCACCAAGTGCCAAGTTGAAACCATCTAAATGGTTTCGCAATCAACCAAGTCCGAACCGAATACCAGACAAAGTCAAAATCATTTTGAGTTTGTCGAGTCTAACTGAGTGTTTGGCTACTTTGTGTTGGCTCCTTTCAGAGTTCGTACGGAGTAAGACTCTAGCTGCTGGTGTAATTAGGTCCGTACTAAACTACGACCAAGTTATCAATATCATACCATGTAACGACAGCCAGTATCATCTTCCCTCCGGTCATGGTCAGCGTCATTAACAAGCTGAGAGGCAGCAATTGGCCCATATATTTTTTTACATTAATAGTACATCCCGAGTGGGTTTACTACACGGAGACCTCCGATGATCCTGACGGCAAGTCTTCCTCCAACATAGACTGTACGAATTTTGGCAAGGATTCTGCCATGTGTAAATTGATCTTCCAAAGGTTCACCAGTTGTCGAAATGATGTTGCTACTTTCTGCCACTGAAGATCATGGGAAACACCGGGCATTTGATACGAGGTGATATCAACTAGATTGGGAAACACCACAGCCAGGACAAACACAGGAAGTGCTGCTGTCGACACCTTCAAGTGTCCGACCTGCAGGTTTCGGAGAGCTGTTTGTTTGAGCCAAAAATGCCAGTTTCCGTCCAGTGCATCTTCACTCTCCCTGCCATGGGGGAGTGCCGGCCTTTGGGTGGCATCGAAAGTTAAATGTAGGACACGCAGCGATCTACATCACGAGGCTAATGAAAGCACGGCGGCGAAGGTGACCATGGATGTGACTGTTTCCTTGGAGGCAAATCGCAAATCGTGAATATCTGGCCAAGCAACTGCAGCATCCTCAAGACAGTAATTTCCTATGGCTATGAACTTGGCAGTCTTCAGCCCTCTAAACTTGAGCAAGGGCCGGAAAAGGTGGGAAGGAAGTGGGCTATAGAGGTTAAGGTCCTGATACAGGGGGCGATTATAGCTTTGAATAGAGATCTCTTCGAGTTCGAAGGATTGGCAAGACGCGTGAAGGGATAGTACGAACTTTCCGACTTCTGCCGGTGTAGCATATTTAGTGTACTTGATGCCAATGCTTGATAAGTGTGGGGTGATAACGCGAAGAAGGAAGGATGTGCAAAGTTGCATGCGATCAGCAATGAGCCCAAGGTGGTTGAGGGCGCTCAATTCAACTGGCGTATCCATCAATCGTGAGTCCTGCAGAACACCAGATCCTTCATGCAAAGTAAGTGCCAGGACTTGTAGAGAACGCAAGTGCCCGATATCAGCGATGCTATGCCCAGTCAGACACACATCACGGATTACGTCCAGGAGAATTAACTTTGCCAACTTGTTGAGAGGTAGGTCGATGCTTCTACCAGAAAGGCATCAACCAATTGCCCTACCTCATGCGCCGGGAGGCTTAACGGTACGGAAAAGGCCAGCATCTCTAATCTGGGCGAGAGGAACTGGTGAAGTAGCAAGAAGTTTGAACTAAACTCCATCAGATCAAACACTATTTCAAAATCCAATGTGACAAGGTTGGGAAAGAGCGAAGTGGGCGGAAACTGGGCGAGAAGTCGTTGTAGGATACAGCAATGCAGTGTTGGGGGGCACTTGGAATGGCCAATGAGGTTGCCAACGAGCTTGTGTATCATTGACGTGTTCATCCTGACACACTGCCATTCCATAGGTAGCGGCTCACGGGAAAAGTCCTGCAAACGGGAGGATAGTAAGCAGTGTCCTGTCATACGGCAAATACGACTCACAATGAGATTATCATCTCCGACTTTCCAGGTGTCTTGAGGCAGACACATAATGAGGGGTCCCAAGTTTGACTGTGTGCACCAGAGGGTATCGAGGGCGGGAGAAGAGATCGCAGAGCAAGTGCTTGCAAAGTTTATGACGTCTGTCGCTGACGACGTAACATTTTGTAAGATAGTGCAAACGATATCGTCGACTAGTAGAGCGCGATGCATGGTTAACTCGAAAGATGTTGGTGATGCTCGACTGTTTGCACAATCCTTCATATATAACTGCTGTTACAAACATCCACAGACCCACAGGGGTTCTGGCACCATGCTCTGTTCGGGTGGACGATCCACTTTTGGAGTTCATGGGTCTATTGGGAGCAGATACAAACCATTGTTCCACCAGTGGCACAGTCATTGTAAATCATGATGCTTTGGGCTCGTGCATTCACGGGTTCTTGCTGTTTTTGTCTGTGCACAAAACATATTATATCATGTATTTGCTAGATGTGTGGTACTTACTTACCGTGTTGGGGTGCAGCATCGCCAAAAGTACGATGAGTGCATAGAATTAAAACTTGGAAGCGTTACCGTTCACGTGGATTGACTTTAGGAGGAGGGCACCATATATTTACATTGTCCACTCTGCGCTTTGGTCATCCTCGGAATGGAGACAGTCAAAGAATTCTATGGGGTCAGTGCCAGAATTTATCAACTGTTCTCTGTCAATTGTGGCAATTGACTCTCGATCCAAGCAATGGTCAGGGTCCGATAGTTGCTGTGAAACACATAAAATCGATTGTTACTAGTAATCAGCAAGACTTGGTCGAGAGTCGACTCAAGAAATGTGACTTTGATGGGCCGTGACCGATTGTGGATTCAAGTAAGTAGTACTTACTAGTACTTGGTTACTTTCAACACCCTTGTTTCACCCATGTGTCAAACACGTGACTGTTTGTGATAAGTTGCAGTTTACAAGAAGTGCTGGTGAAATTTTTCGTAGTCAATCATGGCACGGACTCATTATTCAATTCTATAAGAAGGTAGAAATGATTTCCGGGATGTCATGGTCTGCCATGATATGGATAGGTGAGCTAAGAACATTGGCAAATGGGTTGTTGAGGATCTGCTTGGAACGTTCCGAACACATACACCGGGTACAGCCATTTTGAGTTAGCTTCAAAGTTGGTTTCAATTTCTGGTTTTGACTCTTGCCTCTGAATTACTGTTATCTTGCATCGGCATTCACCTTTCTAATTCTATTCTTTATGGCAAGAAGAAGCAAAATACGCTCGGGCGGCTCTTACAGGTGTTCGTGGCTCAGTCTGGCATTAGTCCCTATGCTAGGTCGGAAAATCATCCAAGTTCAATAGCTGTGACATCACCTCATACTAAGATACACCATGCACACAGCCATCTTTTTCTGAAGAAGATGATATCCAGGCATTAGTCAAAATGCCGTGTCTGCCCGTGTCTTCTCGCTAGTCTACTAGAGACAGTGGTCTAGCTGATTCGGAGGTTCCTCTATGGGCATTGCGATTGGTTACCTTGGACACCTTGGACAACCTTTCAGCGCAACCCTGCTAGTGCAGCAACGCAGCGGAGAATACAAGAAAATCACAGCAGATCACGATATCATTGTACGAGCGATAGACATAGCTTCTATATCCAACATGATGGACATCAGGACATGAGAGATATTGTAGCTGTAAGGACAGACATCTCCAAGGAGTTTTCTTGTACCCTGACAGTACCTGTATCCACAGATAACCGTACCGATATTGATACTGTTGTATTTCTGCTCATTCGCTTCAAATCTATTCATGCACGGCCCATCTGGCATCGCAGATAATGATATGGTTCAAGGTTCCCATCAAAGTGTTCGTGCTCCACAGAATATGCAGGTCATCGACTGCGGAGGGGAATACAACCACATTTGAATTATGACTTGTACGTGGATAAGATACTTACTGCACACTTTCATAGGTGCACAACGCGGAATCAGGAAAATGGTAATAGATGCCATCACTCCTTCACTCGCCAACAGTGTTACACTTCAGCGACCAAGACCGCACGGTACCTTACTTCTCCTTTCTCAAGCTTCTCCATCGATTTTTCTATGCCTGTCCGGGTCAACGGGAATTCCTGGACGATGGGCTTGATGCCATGAAGTGCTGCGAACCTCAACATCTTGACATGTGTTCCACATGAAGGACAGATGCTACCCTGGAGCGTAAGGCCATTGTTGACGAGCTGCATGTACGGCAAGGTGAGGGCATCACTAGACACAGTGAGCAGGTAGATCTTGGTGTGCGGCACGAGTATGGGGAGGTAACTGGAGATTATAACTTGTTAAACGATGAAGTAACATAGTCATAAAACAAGGTACACACAACTTCCAGTCAGGCTGCTGGGACGATGTGACAAAGAGGTGCTTGATGGGTGCCCCTATCTGCAGCTTCTCCACGTCCTTCGTCATGTAGAACTCACTTGCACCAAGCTGCATCGCCTCTTCCTTCTTGCTCTCTGTCCCCGAGAACACCACCACCTGGCAGCCCATCTTTGCAGCGAACTGAATAGCAAGATGTCCGAGGCCGCCAACTGAACAATCTGCCCGCTGGAGGAGCCTTTGAAGATGATGAAGTCAATACCTGTCATGGTGAATATTTGTTAAATTACGAAAAGCGTTGAATTGAGATGGGCGGGATAAAAGAAAGGAGTATGACAGAGACAGTAAGCCAATGGGGGTCTTTATTTGAGGAGGCTGACGTGATGAGTCATGGTTCTACTGGTATCCAGCTCCAACTCTGAGCATTGACGGTTTAAGTAGAATATCATTTCATTGAGTACAAGTCCAAGAGCGAGGTAAAGTACCCAGATTCTATCTTGAGCTGGTTTGCTCAAAAATCAATGAGTATCTGTTGGAAACTTAGCAGAAGCATTAAGTTCAGTGACGCGCGCTGAAGTCACGTGCCCTTAAAGTCAAGTGTATTGATACCCGGCTCACCAGGAGATGAATCAGAATACACACTGAATCTGATGCATATGCTTTGCTGATGCCTTTCAACAATGATTACTTAGTAACCGCATGGCATATGCACAAGTGGGTGAGCTGTAGAACGTTGGAAAACTGCTTACAAGACAAAGTTTGCTGTTCTGGTTGTTTTTCAGATCCTTCCAATTCCTTCGTACTGCGTCCTCCACCTCGTTCTCCTACCAGCAGCACATTGCCAATTTAGAGCCCACCCTAAACATATCAAACACGCTGCTCAGCCGTTCAAGTATCTAAACAGGCATACTGGATCGCTCATAGCGACGCATGAGTCTGAGGTATAAGCATTTGAACGGCGCGCGCTGTGCACGCTCGATTAGTATCTGACTGTAACACCAATCAATCAATTCCACACTGAACACCAACCAATCCCACCATCATGATCCCACCCCACCAGCCATCTCCGCCATATACGTCGCCGCCAAACTTCACCAACTGACTTCTTGAATCCCCACATGATGCATAGCTTCTGCATCCTTGATTTGCTCCTCGAGAAGCGGAGCATGTGTGGAAGAGTTGAGAAGGAATTGTTAGGAGATCTGGGGGGTTGGTGTCGTTCCTTGGTGTCGTTATAGCTCATGCACTGGCAAGAAATCGATGCTGTCACTGCATAGACGTATGTCGCGTTCCTATCTACATCATTTCCTACCCTACATATGACTTATCAAATGAACAGGTCAACTCCGAAATTTAAATACAATTATAAGCACGCACATCACAAGCTATATATACAAGTCTGCCACCACCCGACCCAATATTATCCGAAATGGCCCTCATCACCAACTTATTTACACAAGTGTCTCACAATAGAGTCCCACGTGCTCTGATAACCTTCTCCGCACCTGGTCTGTGGGCGTTTCCCTCGTGGTATTAAAGAACCGCTGGTATCCTTATGGAATTTCTAGCCCTCACATTCATACAAGAGGTAGAGGGATGCCACTACTGGAAGGGCCATCTCGCTAATGATGGTTTTTTTAGGTCGAGCTGATCTGGGTGAGCAGACTCCAACATCACAAAAACGGCATAAAAATACGATTAATTTGCCACAGAGGCAACGGTGGTCCCTCATGATGATTCTGTACCTCAGCGTATGTAGCTGGCATTTAAGCGCGATCAGCAAGTCGCGCTGACTCGAACATATTGTAGGTGCGCTACGGCGGAACCATATATGCTGTGTATGTTTGAAGGCTAAGCAATTGGTGTTGTACTGATCAGCCATCTTTCACAATCAGCATTAGTATACAGGGTATGCTTCCTCGCGTACACAATGTTTGTTTCTTCTGACTTGCAGGATACAGTCGGTGTTCCGACAATCTCGGTGACCAATACAGTAAGCACTCCACACTGATGATTGGCATTCCCGTCCAATCAACCGCATACTCGTGTAGGGGTGAGTGAGATTCTTGACGAGCTTGTTGGTTCAATATAAATGACTGCCACAGTTGTGAGTTTTTCTCAAGTGTGGGATTCTCTGAGGCTGATCGCTAAATGAATTCGCCAGGCGAGATGTGTATGTGGTACTAACTTGGATGATGGTAATCGTGACTGCAATGCTGAGCGGTGAGCTATGCAGCTGCAATACCTCATTGATATTGCGGGTACGGGTACGGTATTACCCATACTAACCCGCGGTATAGCAGCTTACCCGCAGTGTTGCATTTACCCGTGGGTACACATACAAGAAATACCAATACTATGTAGGTCTAATAACCTCACCCAACACTCTCGTCCTCTCATTTTCTTTTCTTCAGAGACTTCATGATCTTAGTAAGGTCATCGGGTGCTACCAGATTATAGTGGAGCCACGAGCCAAGGCAGAGGAATGGACGCGTTGATGACGGAGACAAGTGGTTTCGAGTGAAGTGTAGAAGGTGCTGGCCTTGCAAAAATACATGTTCGATTGCAGTCGAGGTAGCTATGGTATGTAACACATAAGCTTTGATGCTAGCGAGAGCGATGGTGCACAACCTACCAGGAATACTAAGGTAATCAAGTGCCATCCGGTGCAAATTCGGATACTTCTTTTGATTATGGACCCACCATTGCAGTGGGACTTTGACCTGTGGAAGGATAAGCTTAACACGTTTTGCAACATTGTCTGCTATGGGCTACAGAGATGACGATACATCTGAACGTGTTGAGGTAGACTCAGCGAGCGAGGCGGTATCATTGGCAGTAGACTGATTAACCATAATGATGGAATAAATGGAGTATTGAGAAATGTAGAGTCTGCATACCTTACTTTATACTGTTGAATCACCAAGTTGTAATCAGTGATAGTAATGTGTCTCCAAGACGGAAGAATATAAATATTGAAGCAGCAAGAAATAGGATCGAAGCAGCGGGTCACTGTTGCAGTCAACGACCCTCCGAAAAATAAGGATCGTAGTGAGTGGCGAATTCTTGTCATGTCCAACATATAACACCGTGGAGAAAATTCAGAGATACTATCGGTTACGGTCTATTTGTGACGAGCCTCCATTTCGTGAGTCACACTTTTGGGCATGGAAACGTGATGGCTTGTCACATGGTGTAACGGTATGTCACGAAATTCACCGCAAAAAAGTGTGACTCACAAAATGACGGTCCATCACGAATAGATCGTAAGGGATAGTAGCGCGGCCACCCGTGAACATACCCATACACCATACAAACACTGTACCCGTACCCGCCATACCCGTGACCCCCATACCCGCGGTGTGGCCCATACCCGTGCTATACCCTAATTCCACTACCATTCAACGAGCTGATCATAGTCCTACAACCGATTCGAAAATCCATCCATTCAATCCAAGCGGCATTGAAACATTACTATCACTCCACAGCTCGATCGTTCCCGAGCTGCCTAGCCTAATACCATTGAACACACTGACTGGACAGCCTGATGCCCAAACATAGCTTCATTGAAACAATTCAAGTTACAGCTTAGACTTTTATTCTTCAATCCAGCGTACGTCCCTCGTGATAGCCGTCGCCTATAAGATGTCCAACTGACACACTGTCGAATAGAGCTAGTATTTTCCCGACAATTGTGTCACGTTTTATCATCAATCCCTGTCGATGAGTGACCAGGATCAGTGTCAGTATCTCCTTCTCTTATCTCCTCTTGCGGTCTGACCTCATTGACAGTTCATCAGTCGTCTGAAGGACCTTGGGAGAAGCTGTGTCAGGTCGCTGTCCCGGGTGCTGAATATGACTCTCAAGATCGCCAGCCACATCCAAAATGTTTGGAAGGGGACACGGGTGGACCTTCTCAACTACATCTACAGATTGTTAGACAACCGAGAGAAGAGTCAAATCATTTGGCTGCATGGCACAGCAGGCGTCGGAAAGTCTGCTGTTGCGTTTACTGTAGCTGAAAGGATGAGATCTCTGAAAGTGATGGAGGAGACGAATATCGAAACAAGACTTGCGGGGACATTCTTTTTCTCTTGCAAGCACACACAATGCAGCACGACTGGACATTTCTTTGCGACGCTTGCCTACCAGCTTGCGAGAAATTTTCCCAGTGTCAAGATGCACGACAATGGAGCTATCCGCAAGGATCCTGTGCTTTTAGACCCCAGCAAGTGTCTTCAGGACCAGATGAAGGCGTTATTTCGTCAACCTCTCTCAAACCTTCAATGGAGACTGCGCGAGTGTATGCCTCCAATGTTTGTTATCGATGCCCTTGATGAATGTAAACCCAAAACCGTCGCTGAGCTGATCTCCCTTCTTGGCCAAGCTCTTCGTGATCCTGATCTTCCCGTGATCCACATTCTGCTCATGAGTCGCTTGGAAGAGCATATCCGTAAAGCCATCCAGAAAGAAGATATGCGCTCGCTGGTGTGCTCGATACCGGTGAACATTTCTGGGGAGGGCGTTTTTGGGACCATCTCATTAGACGGCACAGATGTTGACAACGACATCTATATTTTCTTGCAGCATTCCTTCAGAGACCTGCAAATTGTCATCCCGATTTCCCGCAGCCCTCCGCGGATGAGCTTGCACGCCTGGCGAGCTGAGCAGGCAGACGTTTCATCGTGGTGACTACGATGATGAAGTTTATCGATGATGGATACAATGATCCCCAGGCTCGGCTTGAGCTCTTGCTCAAGCTAACGAGTGAATTGCTGCCAGGAATGGAGGTGTACGAGTTATATGATCGCATCCTTTCCATATGTGCAGACCCAAAGCGGGCATATCTGCACTTGTCCGTTGTCGCGGCCCTTGCTGATCCTCTGCCTATTTCACAGATCTCCAAACTGCTTGGACCTGGCCAAGGCATGGACGTCGAGATAACACTGGCGCAGCTACAGTCCATCATGGATATTCCTACTGATAGCAGTCTCCCCATGAGTGTGTAGTCACTCGTCTGTTCGTGACTACGTTTCAGACCCCTCAAACTGCCGCCTGTCCGAAGTACAGTCGCAGGCATCTATCCCAGCCCACTTCCTACTCGCCGAATGCTCTTTCTGCTTGATGGTGCGAGACATACCAAAAAGCACGGCCCTTCTGGATGTGCTCTTAGAATTGAAGGAGCACAGCCAAACTGTGCAAACCCACGACCCCCAGAGTTTACAACAATCACTAGCCTTTATCATCGAGCCACCAGAGCCACTGCACGTTCTTACGGGTCTGCTATGGCTTTGGGGAGTTCGCGGTCCAGATTTGCGGTCCTGGCTAGAAACCCCGGATGGATATGCATGGCTGCAGACCCAAGGAGGGGATGACTGGTTGCAGATGGAGGAGGGGGGGAACTGGCTGCCCACTCGCAAGGGGGGGGGACTGGCTGAAGACACATGCAGGGAACACATGGCTACAGACCGAGAGCGGGGGAGAGTGGCTGCAGAGTGGCAGAGGGTGGATATGGGCTCAGAAATGGCGACATGTTGCTAGACACTCTAGCGAGCCAAAATGGCTAGACACCCAGAGCGAGCAAGAGTTGCTGGAGACAAACGGAGGGCAAAAGGGGCTGGAGACGGAGAGAGAGTTGCTGGACACCAATGGAGGGCAAAAGTTGCTGGAGATCAATGGAAGGCAAGAGTCACTGGAGACCGAGAGACAGTTGCAAGAGATCAACGGAAGACAAGAGTTGCTGGAGACCGAGAGAGAGTCGCTGCTGACCAACGGTGGGCAAAAGGGGCTGGAGACCGAGAGACAGCGAAAGTGGCTGGATACTCCAGAAAGGCGAGTGTGTCTATGGACCCCATGGGCCAACAGAGTGCGAGAGTGGCTGCAGACTGACGAAGCACAAGAGTGGCTGCAGACCAATGAAGCGCAAGAGTGGCTGCAGACCAAGGGAGGGCAACAGTGGCTGCAGACCGAGGGAGGGCAACAGTGGCTGCAGACCGAAGGAGCGCAACAGTGGCTGCAGACCGAGGGAGGGCAACAGTGGCTGCAGACCCAGAGTGGGGGGGGGGGGGGGGGGGGGGGGGAGTGGCTGCATAGTACTCCAGGAGGGCAAGACTGGCTGCGGACCCCGAGCACGCGAGAGTGGCTGCAGACATGGCAAGGGTGAAAGTGGCTGCAGACACAGAGCGGACGAGAGTGGCTACAGACGCCCCATGGTCAAGCATGGCAGATGACTCCAGCAGCATCTGTCTGGGTAACAATGGACGAATTCTCGAGCACATTAGAAGCCATCAGCAAGCACACAATCATCCCAGAAGTACCTTTACGGCCAGCTTTTCAAGTCATCAAACAGTTCAAGCACTTGCCGGATTTCTTGGGCTTTCCGGCATTCCTGGTATTTCAACCCCAGGATCACTCTACACATGCGTTCCAAAAAGATTGTCGTTTACCAGACATAGAGGTCATCTATGCTATGACGGCATTTGCATTTTTTGCAAAAGAAGCACGGGAACAAAGCCAATCAGCCTCTGACGCTCTGAAGTACGCATGTCAAAATTGGTCCTTCCATCTCTCGTGAGCTCCTAGTTCATGGGATGGCGGGCTCAACACTTTATTCAAGCTCTTCTGGGATCGTCACTTGCTCGCCTGGCTCGAAAGGCAGTGGTGCTTGAAAGGCTTGCGGTTTTGTCTCCTTGTTTTATCTGAAGGGCAGGAACTTGCAAGGGTGTGTGTTCTCGATTATTTTCGTGATTCAGCACCTGACCTGCGCATATAGGAACGCCTCCAAGCTCTGCCAGGGCCGTCTCAGTCATAATCTGAAGCTGTCGATTTTGTACATCCCATCATGCCATCTTGTTATTGCGCATTGATTATTTTCATACCATTCTTTTACGTTACTCCAGTGTCTTTAGCTTTCATTCAAAGTATTTCCAGTAGATCCTCCGTTTCCAAGTCTCACTCACTACGCCAGCAAACTTACCATATATAGTAGTTCCACGTACCATAGATTCGCTACGCTCGTTTCTCTCCCTTCCCCAGTCTCTTTTACTGTCGACTGGGGTAAGTCATAGTCTAGCTATATACACATTCCTTACTGATGTACCCCAGGACTTACCAAGTCCTGTCTATTTAGACGTGCGATGCCTTTTATATATCAGGACTACTTGTTGTGTGGGTGTATACAGCACCTCACGATACACCACAACTGCCAGCGTACAACAGGTCAACACTAACGGCACCAATAGATTGTGAAAAGGTAAAATGTGCACTAAGTAGATTGTCGCCGCCGTGAGGCACATGCACTCCTCACGCACTGGTTCTCAAACTGTTGTTTGATGCCCGCATAACCTGCCCAGTCGACTCGATGTAAATAATACGAGTCACCTCCGCTACCCCATGAAACGCTGCCAGAGCAGTAGGATCATTCAGAGACATCAAAGATCGCACTTATATCATCCACCTGGGAAATTCACATGAAATAAAATCTATGAAGAAAATAGGCATCGTCACTAACGTTGCGTTCAGTAATACGTGCGTTGAGAGAGGAAATGAATGGCTTCAAGGAAATAACAATATTAATGGCGCCCTCTTTTAAATCAAGAAACCGTGGGCGTACATTAATGCTTCGTTTACTGTAATATGATCAATATTTTGAGGCACAAATAAAGAAATTCACTGAAGTCTGACGCGACTGCTGGAACACCTTATTATTAACCAGCACAACATCCACCTGAGGTAGCAACTCAGTGACTCTTCGACTAGTCAGCATGTCTCCTTTAGGGTTCGGGATAAAATTAATTGACGAATTATTAGCCTGCTTTTTAGCCAGGTGGCTCTTGGGGAGTTATTAACTAGCCGCGTGACTGTTGCTCTACAAAACGACATGCAGCTTGCCATTTCATTAATGGGGGGTTAATATGTTTTGCGATTTTGTCCCAAAATGCAAGTAGCCAGAAGGGGTATCTATAAGGTGAGTTGGTGTGAGCGTAAATAACAGAGCATTTCCCAGTGCCCCGGGCCTCTGACGCTATGCGAATGAGTGCCGTAATGATTGACTCCGTTGGAATTGGTAATGAAGATAGGAGAGCGTGACCAGTTGGGATGGGGTGTGGGGGTTCTGAGCAGAAGTATTGCTGAATGTTCGGCAGGTTGGCCTGAGGGGTGGAAGTGACAGATGGAATCGCAAATTCGATGAATGCAGAGATGGGAAGGTCTGAGGGAGGGAAAAGTGTTGCAGTCAGGGACTCCGGAATGTCGGAGTACATCGGTGTCCCAGATGTATAATCACTGGGACACTCAGCGTCGTCGTGCAGCTCGATGACATCCATAAGGGTGATGCCTTGCATGGGTTGAAAATTTGAAGGACCTAAGGATTATCATTGAACGCGCGGCCGGGCTTGCACCAATTAGAAATTTTGAAATAATTATATGGTAACTAGTTCATTATATGTCAGTAGAATTTAGCCTCCCGACACGATTCCTGACCTGATTGACGGTGTACCTCTGATATATGACGCACAGGCAGCCATCGGGAGTTCTTAGCATCATTAGCATGATGACTTCTGGGATCGAATTATTAGCGTGTTATTAGCTTGCTAATATCCCGCTAATTAGCACCCAGCTAATAAGCAACGAGTTTTCTCCCGAACCCTAGTCTCCTTCTTCAAACTCCACCTCTCTTATCGAAAGTCCCCACATCCTACACCGCTTCTTAATCTACCTTAGCTGCTCTCTCCCCACCTCCGCAGGAGTAGGCATCAGCTCAATTCCGTAGCTTCTGCAGCACGTTTCCAGGCTCGCCTACACGAGCACATTTCCCACCCCACATCCCAAGTCCAAAAACAAGGAGTCTTTGTGGAGATGTGTAGCAGCAATGATATCCGCGATTATCTGTACGTATTTTCCCCACAAGCGTAGCCAGTTCCTGACCGCCTGCGCCAGGTACGTCGACGAAGCGCAAGCCAACGTTCTGATCGACGCACTCTGTAAGTAGCTATCACTTCAATGACGAAGATCCCTTTTGAACTTTCTGTTGTAGTCTTGAGGCAACTATGCAGGAATCCAGACGGTTTGTTCTGGGCTGGAGATACCGCACAGACAATCTCTACCGGGAGTTTTTCAGGTTCGACGATCTGAAAGCGTTCCTCTACTGTGTGGAGGTCAGCGAACAATAACTTATCTTCCGGGTCCGAATTGATATCTTCTTACAGCAGCAAAATGCTTCTGTCAACTCCGCTGTAGCATCTCTCTTCCAGCCCACGATGTTTCAATTGGCAATCAACTACAGGTCACACGGGGGCATCGTCAACTGCGCCCACTCTGTGATCGAAATCATCACAAGATTCTGGCCCAACACAATCAATAACCTTCAGCCATAGCTATGCGCCATTCGACCCGTGTTGCTCCGAGTTCCCGAACCGCTGAGTCCAGCAGCTCCAAGCGCAAGGAAACGGAACCTTTGCAATCCTCCGGCAAGTGAGCCAAGGTCGACGACACGGACCCCCAGCTAGATGTAACTGCCCAGACAGGATTCTACGCTGCTGAGATGTTCGCAGCCAATGACGCAGTCAATAATCTCCTCGATATTGTTGTTGTCGGTCTGTTGTTCTCCCATTTGTTTAATGACTGTATTTTTACCATGGCTTTCGCAGATAATGTTGTCTAGGTCCGGTATCACGATCGGCAGGGCATCAGTCAATGCTCGGGCATCGACTTCATCGACGATCTCCCCCGATTCATAGTGCTGTTTTATGCGTTTCAGCGATTCAAGCTCGAGGATTGGGGTCGAAACAAGCACTTCAAAGAAGTTGAGAAGGAAGCTTTGCAGAAACTCAAAATTGGAGACGTGGATCTTGTGCTGCACACCAGCGACGAAGACAGAGTGACTCACTACGGACTGAAAGGACGAATATCTCACCAAGAAATCCAAGAAATTCCCGGGCGTCCAAGAAGATTGGATTGTGGTCAAAATCTTCTTGGTAGAGGAGCAACAGATTAGTGTATGAGTGTACGTGGGTGGTATATATACGTTTTCGAATGGTTAACTAGGCCGGAATCAGCGTGAAGAGCATATGGTGAATTGAAAATACTCGGTCCAAGAAAGGGATCATGAAGTGTGAGCATAAGGTAAGATTGTAAAAGGAAATGAAAATGGAAGCTTGTATCTGCGTAACTCGGATGCGAAGAGTAACGGAGCCACGTCGTCTTCGCTTTGAAGCATGATCGGTGCGTAGAGGATATGCAATCCTTACAGGTACATGACGCACGAGTGACGAACAATCTTCTGCCAAACAAAACAAGGAGGCTATAGCTGCGCGTGCTCAAGCGCTCAAGCCTCGAGCTTCCTATCACAAGAATCTACGTGTTTCGTGCAATGGAAATGACGAGGTGAAGTGGCAGCAACGTGTTGCTGGCAGAATGCTTCTGCTGGCAGTAGGTCGGAGGCTATTGGCAGAAGTCGGCACAGAAGTCACCGTGAATCATGACGAAAACAGCAAACAATATACAATGGTTGATTATCACCTGAACCTCGTCAGATCTCATCAACGTAGCATTTTGTACACTCTTCTCGTCAGCTCCCGACAACGGATTCGAGCTGGCATTGACCTTGTTTCGCAAGGTGTCATTTTGTTCCATGCTAAATTGCCGGTAGACCTGACTTCCCAGGGTGATGGTCGGACCGTCTGTAAGAACTAAGAATTTACAATATCTTAATTAGTGGCACGCTGGCATTGCAGATACCATCTGTTCGAAAGGGGATTTCAGGTTAGGAAGGTTTTTCTTGCATCGCCATGAAGAACAATATCCAGCACATAAAGGCAAGCCGTCTTCCTCCTGTCCCCTTCAGATTTATGTGATCCCATATCACATCCTCACAAACAATGCGCTTATCCTTTGTCCTCGCCATTGCTGCTGCTTTGACAACATCAATATCTGCCAGTGACGCTGGCAGTGAGAATTGTCCTTTCTTTTGCAAGCATGATAGAAACTGCATCGACTGCATTCCTGACTATGGATGTGTGAGTATGAGTAGTTTGCGTTCTGAATTTAAACACATGACTGACCAGCGTGGTAGTTCTTATTTATATGCGACAACTGGTAATCGATAAGCGGCTAGTGTGGTGTGTTGTGTTTCTGCTTTCGCATCGGTTCAGTGTAGTTTATGGCGCCAGGCGCGAGTTACTAGTAATCTGTTGCTGAGTCGATCAACGTGTTCGCTTCTGAACAAATCTTACTGCCGCTCGAGCAATGGAGATCTTGGAATAGCTTGAATGCATAGAATACGACTGAAGTACCTACGACGCAGTTTTGCAGTCTTGTTGTAAGCTTGAACATAACCCTAGACTGAGCCCTCGATCATCGATGACACCATAACTCCTCCCATCATAAGCGCTGTTTGCTGGGCATCGTTTTGGCCTGCACTGAGCCGCTGGGGTTGATCACGATCCCATTAGATGGTGGTATATCGTCGTCGTCGTCGTCGTCGAATTGCGGAAGCTCAAGCTCAAGAGCCAGCAACGACACTTGCAAGTTGTGGGAGTGCTCACTGCTCACTACTCAACGTCAACGCTCACGTGACGTGACAACTTCGACTATGACTACTGTACTGCTTATAAGTTACCCCCATGCGACTGGGTGCCGTGCGTTGCACAAAATTGAAGAAAGTCTTAGAAGTGAGCATGAGTAGTTTGCTTTGCATCCTGGATTCAGTACTCACCGGTACCCCTTGCGCCTTATTCAAATAATACTAACAACCTGCCGGCGCAAAGGTTTGCAACATGCATGACTTCCTAGTCCAGCCAGCATCCGGACAGTCGCGGCGAGTCGTGTTTCTGCTTTCGCACTTGCCTCATAGACGGACTCTGGTCATAAAAGTCTACCCTTCACGTTTCAGTAAGCTATTTCCTTTGATCCCGAGGTTTCTGCCGATGGTAAGTATGTCGCCACGATTTCAACGACATATGCCCATGCTCACAATACATCAAAGATCGCCCGTATCCAAAACTCCATATCCTATCTGAAGCGAACGCAAGAGGAACTTCAGGAATATGCAGAGGACCCGGACGTAGTGCAGGTACTCAAAGAGGATAACGAAATGTTGTCAGAACAGCGTAAGTAGTCCATTGACCTTGCTGCACTTATTAGGATCGGCATTCGGCGCGCGCACATACAGAGCATCACGAGATGAGCGAATATTAATGCTCAAGCTGGCGCTCCCCCATAGAGGAGCATCGAATGCTACTAGCACTCACGGTGGATTTCCGACGTTCTATGTCATGTTTAATTGTCGTCTTGCACCAATTATTTTACACACTCCGTTGGACAGACAGGATGTTAGTGAGTCCGTCCTTCAATCACCGCTACCCTCCAACATTCCCGAGTTCATTGGCTCCCCAGTCTCTCCCCAGCCGGACCTGCTACTAGGCGACACGCATCCTAGACATCGCTTTCCCCTTATCACTCAGGAGTTGGGAGTCCGACTCTTGCGGCTTTCGGATAGGCAAACCAATGCGATATTTCAGCATCATAAAGGAGGTGATCTGCGCCACCTTTTCCAGTGAGGGCACCCACACCCTCAGCAGAGGATACGATAAGATGATTTCAGAGTGGGTAGTACCTGAATTGCCAGAGGACAGAGTCATCAATGCGCAAAAGGTGTGATGGCATTTATATAATTAAGTTATAGCCAGTGCTCATTTAAACAACAGTACATAGGTCATCAAGCTCAACCCTTGCTTACCGCAGGTTGGACCCTGCTCCTAATGCACAGATACGAAGTAAGTCCAGGAAGTCTATTTGTCTACTTGAAGTATGTCATAACATTCGAAGAAGAACACCTTCACCGGGTGCTTATGCGATCGAGAGGCACAGATAGATGCTTTAAAAACGAGCAGAGAGTACAAGCAGCTCTTGTCACTAACAATGAATCATGCAGACTTCCGAATCGTGCACATCAAAGAAGCAGTGGTCACGTATTACCACTATATCATACTATGGCGTAGGTGGGAAAGGAAGGAGCCGCTGCTGCAAGACCTTCAAGACAAGGTTGTGTACGAGTTGAATGCAGCGGGCGGTATGGTCAAGTTGCAGTCTTTCTGCAAAACTGCTCATCATAAGGGGTGCCGCTAGGCATGGATTTGTTGCTGCATCGACCAGCATGATAACGTTGAACACCAAATGTCGCTTAACTGCACGTTCGCATAGTATCTCCACTCAGCCCTCACCGGTGCACCATCGTCTACCTATCAAATGTTCCACCTTCATCGAAGTCTGGTGCACTCGCAAAGTATGTTTGGAACATGCGAGGGTGGACTGTCCCAGAATTCCTGGCTCCTCAAGTCGTTCTCTGTTACCAAAGATTGGACTCTATGTCTCGACGATAAATCCCCCAACCATAAGGAGTCTGACGCCATCACGCAGGAGTTGGAGTATGTGACAGGCATAGTTCCACGTACCCTCGTGGCCCTGGGTCCAGGGATGAGAAGCGTCCGAGAGAAACCCCGATGGGCGTCGACCTGTCACCACGTTGCAGGAAGACATTGCATACTCATTATTTGGCATTTTTGGCATTCACCTTCCTATTTTTATGGCGAGAAGAAGTAAAATGTGCTCAGGCGGCTCTTTCAGGGGATGGCGACAAATTGTGGCTCGGTCAGGCATTAGTGACCTGGACTGGGTCGGAAAATCATCCCGAATTCAATAGTTGCCTGCCAGTTGACATCACCTCATACCAAGATCCACCATCCACGTTGTCATCTTTTCCCGAAGATTCAGGCATTGGTCTCCTCACTACAAAACACCGTGTCTGTGGAATCGGCATCAAAAGTTTATACTCTACTTGACAACCTGAGCTCCCCTAGACTGTATTTCCCTTGCATCGCATCCCTTGTCACCGAAGTCAGACAGGAGCGTAGTCAGGAGGAGGAGATGCATTTCATGCATATGCATGGAGTCCAAGGCAGAATGGCTTCATGGCCTGCTGATCACCACGGAAGAATATCTCGCCAAAAAATTCACGAAATTCCCGGATGTCCAGGAAGATTGGACCGTGGTCAAAATCTTCTGGGTAGAGGAGCAACAGACTAGTGAGTCGAACAAGTTAAGAGAGGTTTCCAAGATCGCAGAGAAGCAAAAGACTGTGAACGGCCATGTTCCTCAGTTGCTTTAGTACTACAAGTTTGAGAATATCACGTCCGCAATCCTGGAGACACTTGGCGTTCCAGAACAGACCAAGGGCAGTCGCGTGCTCTACATCACCGTATTTCGCAAGCTCCGACCCATCACGGAGCTCCAAGACGAAAAGGAGGTTTCGGCTGCGCGTGCTCGAGGCTCGAGGTTCGTATCTCAAGAATCCCCGTGTTTCGGAATGACGATGTGAAGGTCAAACAACGAGTCAGCTGGCAGCAACGGTTGTCGCCACCAAGCTAGCGTTATTCAAGTTGGCAGAATGCTTCTGCCAATGACAATTGCCGGCAGTACATAGTTCGGAGGCAGTTGGCAGAAGTCGGCACAGAAGTCACCCTGAATCATAGTTTTACATATTGACGAAAAAAAAACATAATGTCTGATCATCACCTAAAGTTTATGTAAACCTCGTCAGATCTCGTTAGCGTAGCTTTTATACACTCTCCTCATCGGCCCCCAACAAATTGCCAGTAGATCTTGCTTCACAGCCTGAGGGTAATGGTCGGACCGTCTGTATAAACTAAGTGCTCGAGATCTTGATTAGGTGATAATCTGCCGGTATTGCAGATATGCATCTGTAGATAGGTTCTTCCTGTATTGCAATGAAGAACAATGTTCAGCACATAAAAGCAAGCCGTCTTCCTACTGTTCCCTTCAGATTTATTTGATCCCATATCAGATCCTCGCAAACAATGCGCTTCTCCTTTGTCCTCGCTGCTGTTGCTGCTTCCATAGTATCAATATCTGCCAGTGACGCTGACAGTGAGAATTGTCCTTGCTATTGCAATAATGATAGAGACTGCAAAATCTGCATTAACCAGTATGGATGCGTGAGTATGAATAGTTTGCGTCCTGGATTTAAACACATGACTCATCGGCGTGGTAGTTCATTCGAATCTCTATACGCGACACCTTATAGGCGGCTAGCGTGGTGAGTCGTGTTTCTGCTTTTGCATCGGTGCAGTACTTATGGTTTATGGCGTCAGTTACTGGTAGCTTGCTGCTGAGTTGATCAGGGTATTCGCTTCTGACCAAGTTTTACTGCTGCTAGAGCAATAAAGATCTTGGAATAGAGGAATTACGCTTGAATGCATTGCAGCATAGAATATGACTGAAGTACTTACGACGCAGTTTTGTAGTCTCGTGCCAAAGCTTGAACATAGACTGAGCCCTCGATCATCGGTGAGTCGTGAGTCGTGACACCATGACTCCTCCCGTCTTAGGCGCTATTTACTGGTCGTCATGCCAATGGATGCATTTCTAGTCTGGACTGAGCCGCTGGGGTTTATCACGACGCCATTAGATGGTGGTATAAGTATATGGAAATAATTGTCGTTGTCGAATTGTGAAAGCTCAAGCTTCAAGATCCAGAAACGGCACTTATGGGAGTGCTTGGTAGGGATGCGAGTTATAGGGGAGGACTCAGATCTACTAGTTTCGATATCCTCGAGAGCATCCAGGGACAGAAGTGGACACATAGCTGAGACTTATTCTGCTTTGCATCCTGGATTTATTACTCGAGTACTAGTACTCACCCCTCAGTGCGCCTTGTAATAATGACAGCCTGCTAGAACCGATAAGTATCACAGCATCATAGGTACAAGCAAGCACGTATCTTCTTGTAAACGATACTTTGTACATGGTACTCCTCATTTTCAACGAACCCTAATATCGATACTTGCTAGATCGCTAGCACAGCTGGGCGGTGGACCTGGACCTTTCAAAACACTCTCCTTGGTCATGTCACCGAAAGTCCTTATTTCGCCCTCCGTCTGACCTCCATTTGTCACCTCCGGGATCGTGCTGAAGTCACCCCCGTTGGCTCGCAGCGCAGCTAACATACACACTCGGCAATCCCACTGTGCATCGTTCTGCACGAGCGACATTTGCGCAAGGATATCGTGTATGCGTTCTGCTTGCGTGACCAAAGGTTCGTGTGCGGGCAGCTTTGAAATGAGCACCCTTCCTATGACCGTACCTTCTCGGAGATCATTTACGGCTTTGTGTTCATAGCGCCATTCTGGCATGCCGTTGAGATCGAATTTGACACTTGATCGGATGGTGTTGATGGTGTTGTAAATGTGGCAGTCATGGATGGAGGCGTTACGCATTTCTCCCTTGGGTGAGAGCATGAGAACGAAGTGGAAACCTGACTTTGCATTGTGATGATAGAGGGCGATGTATAGACGGTGTTTCTTGCGAGGTATTGATTGGTCTATGGGGAGGGGTATTATGGTGGATCAGTGTAGTTCAAGTGCTTCCTTACATGTGTGCAGATATGTGTCTAGTGGTCGCACTGGTAGCTTGAAGCAGGCGTTTGGAATCAGAATTGACTGGTAACCTGAATCTTGATACATATTTCTGTTTGACTCATCCCTTCGACTCGTCGGAACGAGTTAAAGAAAAGGGTCAAACAACGAGTCGTCAACTACACAGTTGATGCTCGTCGGCCAGCAACGGATGGTGTTGGATTATCAACTCGTCTTGTTTTCCTTTCCTGTGTTACTCTTTCATTACCTAATGGTTATCTAATCTTAGTTTATAATCTCGAGTCGCTCGCTCGTTCGTACCTCAGCTGTTGTCTCACGACACTGAGGTATGTGTAACGTTGTTCTATCTCGCCGTCTCTTTCTTATATCGTTTTTTTCATAGCGTGTTCACTTTTAGGTATTATGAATCTTATAGCTGTTGTCTCACAACACTGAGTGTGTTCACTTTTAGCTGCCGGGTCAACGGGGCGAAGTCAAACACTTATACCGTCATGATCTGGAGTCCTTCATCTGGGTTTGCTTGCGTTACGGGAAGGGATTCCTCCTACCACCGGAAACTCGCCCTCTCGATGCATGGACAACTGTAGGCGCCGTGGTATGTGGCAAGGAGAAGTACTATTTTTTGGGTTACTTTTTGAAGTTCTAACCCCCCGACATGGACCCACATATATGGGGTCTCGTTGCGGACTGTCCAGGGGTGCTGAAAAGATGCCGAACGTCGATTCGATCTCATTGTTCAACAGGAATCGATGTCGCGAGCACGTGAGGAGACAGACGCCGAAATCAGCATCGGATATCGATGACGAGCAGCCACACAAAGGAACCAGAATTAAATATCGATGATTTTCTACGCAAGTTTACACGTACGAATATAGCTGGATTCGCCTCGGGAAGCGTTTACTGTAGTGTTCTTTACTTATTTAGACTGGGACACAGTCAACGAAAATGTGGGATAGGACTTCAGTTGGCAAGCGCCAGAGAGCCGATATGAGTCCCTTGTGCACATTCATGGACTGGGTGATCCTGTCCTTTTTGACGAGTTGCTGATGAAGATTCTTTAGTTATTCATCACGGTTTCCAGGCCTGGGATCTCGTGCAAAACCTCGTACAACTGCTGCTGGCGCTCGGTGATGATGGCGCTAATGAGGCTTTGGACTTTGGGAATGGTAGACTGATCGGTATTGGGGAACCTGGAGTATGGGGTTTCAAGATCTGGAATCTGGTCATCATCAGTAAAATAGCATCTGATATATATATGGGGAGGGATATATGGTCACTTGTGAACGTGCGAGCTGAAGCGAATGAACATTAATATTATCATTTATATGCAGACGTGAGTGCCTATAAAACTTACGATGTTTTGCAGCGCACCCAATGATGTCCGAGACCGAGGAGAAGCCTGCTTTTGAATTTGCTGTCATCCCATCGATTGCCTGCATGTTAACGTTGTAAATTTGGAGAACAACGTCGAGTTCGAAGAAAATGAATACAAAGGCGCTGTCGATATCCGTTACTCCCACGGTAGTGTTGATTGCTGCAGGACCAATTCTGCTTGCTCCTCATATACATATGTCACCTTCACTCCAGTACCCGAAATTAGGGTCTCTAAACGCTGAGCAACGATGATGGGGAAGTGAAAATGATGGAGTTTGTGGAACAGAATGAGGTAAAACCATAGTGGCAGGCGGGTTTGTAGGCTGAAACTTCCAGTGCGAATGTAAAGGCGTGGCTCGCTTTGCTGCTGAGATGCCCTACATTAGGCCAAAACAGTTGAGCCAAAATGCATGACAATTCTCCGCAGACTCAAGAAGAACTGAAGGTCATGACGATGGAGTCGTGGGGGCATGAATGAATCTCCGGTTCCTGGGCGGCCCTTGGCTTCACGTTTCTCGTCAGATATATGCACGCTCATCGTACGGTGTGACTTCCCAAACAACACTCTCCGTAATCTGACGAAGCTCAGCACGGGCGCCTCAAAGATGCCACAAATCCTGCGCGACATTTGACTTTTGGTCTTTCGCAGAAGGTTCATGGTCAACAAGAGACGATTCTATGTTCTAATAAGGGATTGGGATAATGCAATCGGCCAAGGCAAGACGCGACTGAGTATTTGGTAATTCTCGTAACAGATAGTGGTCTAAGTACTGGCATACACCACTTCACCCTGTCTGCACACGAACATTGTTCCTCCTGATGGGTGTCTCCTCTCCTCTCCCCCACCTCTTGACATCACGTTCAGCAATTCTTCGGCTCTGCCGTAAGCGGACAAGCCTGAGCTCCACCGACAATCTGGCGGCTCGACTGATGCCATCACAAGCATGTCAACCGAGAACAGTGAGCTACACAATATTCAGAAAGCACTTACAGTAAGATACCGACAGGATACTGGTCCGTAACTGCCGGCCTATCAGTTACTTTGTTCAATGAATATGTGTGGGCGACGTACGTGCACACTGTGACCGTGCCTGGGCTGGTCTTGGTTAATTTCCTGGTAGTACCGTTGTCCCACACTGTGGCTGGGCACTGTACACACTTGGCGGCATTGACGCCAACGAGGAAGCTGAGCAGCGCAAAGATGATTGAACGGGAAGTAAACATGATGAAGTTTGTGCAAGTGAATGAGGCAAAAATATCGTAGCAGGCAGGTGTTTTATAGGCTGAAACTTCCAGTGTCAACGTAAAGGCGTAGTATATCACATGTACTGTCGACATCGGACATTGCCCCAAGACAACAATAAACTGGATTTTAAAAAAACGTAAAGGAATGGCTCACTTTGCTGCTGAGATGCCTTACTTTAAGCCAAAACAGTTGTGCCAAAATGCATGATAATCTCCGCAGATTCGAGAAGAACTGTGAGCGTCATGAAAAGTTGATGCGGCGAGTACTCAAAGGGGCATGTGTGGCACGATGGGGTCGTGGGGCACGAATGAATCTCCGGTTCCTCGGCGGCCTTGGCTTTGCGTTGCTCGTCAGATATGTGCACGTTCATCGGACGTTGTGACTCCTCAAACAACACTCACCGTAATATGACCATCCTTGAATCGAAGTATGAGATAAAACGCGCCTTGGAAAGTGGAAATTCTTCCGTTGCAGAACTAGTAGTTGTTTGGGACGCGAAAGGCGAGACCTTTCAACTGCAACGTGCATCTGATGGACACGCACCTTGGGGGTCGGAGGGAAGTCTGGAGTGATAACACCGTGAGCTACATGGACCCCAATTTCGTGAGACATGTGCAACGACGTACGCGAGAAGTGACTGTTCGCGATGCACTGGAGTAGCAGCTCTACATGAGACACGGCCCATCATGCATGTATCCTGCAGGGAATATATAGCGATCGCTGACATTCGACGGGCCTTCATCACTAACAGCCAGATTCGGAGTAACTGCCTGCACTGCATACCAATTTGAGGCGAAGTGTCGCATTTAAAAGCGGTGAATATACAAGTTGGAGCCACGGGCAGAGGCGCAGGGAGGGTTGTATTGTCGAGGAAGGCGCGGATGACAACAGGAAACATTGTTGCTGCAGCATTAATGGAAATGAACAACAATGATATTGATGATGTCGTGTTCCACTGAAAGTGCAATGCTGATGAGTCGATGATGATGCAATGAAAAATGTATGTGACAACGAGATGAAGGATATGAAGTGAAGATTGTTCAATAAACGTTGCATTGCACTGGTACCCGCAGCCCAGTAGCCCGAGCGAAAACTCTTCGAAGGTTGGGATAGTTCAAGATGATTTCCGGAGACGGGCTGGCATGGGAAGTTGTCATCGGAGACGTTTTGTGTTTCGTACACTTTGCAACAACTTTGCAATGCACGGAAGAGAGATTATAGTACAGTACAATATCTCATAATGCATAACGTCGGGACCCCCAAATCCTTATTTTATTTTTTAGAGCCCGTTCAGCAACCGACATTTGAACAAAATTTTACCAACTCGAAAATTGTCAGTGGCACGAGTGTGACTGAGATGTAAGCTGAGTTTGAAAGCCCTCGGTAAGATTGACCATTATCGATAACATACTAGCCATGGATCCAGTATTCAGGCGGCCATTGACTAACCCTCTTATCCAACAGAGACCTCTCATAGCCCAGCTGACTCGACCACTAGCAGTACAGACTCACCCCAACCAGACTTGTTTACCACAAGCTGCAGTTTGCCAGTGTATGCTTCGTTACATTGCCCTCCTCCTCAATATTCTACTTGCTGCCACAGCACATATCCTCCTACAGCAAGTCCAGGATGATCCTGAACCCTACCACACATCTGCCCTCACAGGGCAAGAGTGGGTGATGGAGTTGATTGTTGGCCACCCAGAGTGCATCTGCTGCGAGCTTGGTGTCACTGCTCACGTCTTTGAGAGCTTGGTGTGTGACCTTCGAAACTTTGGTCACACAGATTCATGCTATGTATAGGCAATGACATGGGTATACCCCTGGGTATCGCCAGCAACACCCGCATCCACACCCCGAGGCATACCCGCACCCACCATGGTAGATAGGTAACACACCTGAGGTACCACCCACCGGTGGGTGTACCCACGGGTACACACTAGCATATTTAAAAACGACACAAAATGTAGCTATAACTCAATTAACATTAATTCTGTCCCATCCATCCTCGAGCTCCACCTCAGCATCGCCCTGAACATCGAGCAAGGTAGCAACTTTCAACACATCTTCTGTCTTGACAAGGTTCAAATGGCTCCAAGCACTGAGGCACAGCAAGGCATGTGTTGACTCTGCAGACAGACATGAACAAACATGAGTGAGGAGGAGCCAACCACGGCTAAAAAGATGTTCAACGTCCACCGATGTAGCTATCAACCATGTCAGAACATCAGTGATCGAGTGACAAGTTAGACATACCGGGTATTGTCAGGTAGTCCATTGCCATCCACAACAGACAAGGATACAAAGCACAGCGCTAATGCCACCATGCAATAGTGTTAGTTGTAACATTCTCAACATCAGTGCTCAAGTAGTGGTCAAGTTCATTCCCTAAGTCAGTGGATTTTGGTGGTGCGAGTGCTGGCATATTGTTGAAAATGTTCTAGAACACAATCCGTCAATGAAATGGAGACTCCAAGGAATAAAAAATGAACTGAGCATGAGGCACCTACTGCTGACTTTGCAGGAAGGTCAACTGCCATCCCAACATCATCATCTTGAATCTCCATATCCAGGTAGGACCACTCAAACTCATCATGCACTAGAGCTTCTGCAGTGTTGATCCAGTCATCCTCCCAACCAGCCAACTTGAAGTAGGACAATTTGTGATGCAGGTGTAAGACTATGGAACAAACAATGGTCAGAGGATTCATAAATGTTTATAGGGATATGATAACTGCTGAGTGGGACAGGTGAATGCATAACCATTCATAGGGATGTGGTAACTGCTGAGTCGGACAGTAGAACATACCCATTGCAATCCTATACACCTCAGAGCTGTCCGTCAACTGATAGTATTGGTCGAGAGTCTTCTTGGCCAGTTGAACTGCCGCACGAATGGATGGTGAAAATTTCTTGTTGTGAGAATAGATAGTCATTTGTTCGTCAATTATGTCCATCGTGGGAATAACAGTTGCAAGGTTGGGAGTTGAGCAAGAGAAAAAGAGGGTAGCGTCCTTGAGAATCTGAGCTGCCGGTAAGACATAATGCATAATGGTTGGCATATTAATAGTTTGCACACACCTTCAATATGGCACGAAGCTGCTCCACAATTTCCCACTCATGGTCCCCAAGCTTGAACTTTCACAGGCCCAACTCTCGTCACTATGTAACAGTGTCAATTGCCTCCCGATGCGCCAGGGTGTACTCCAGCATATTGAATGTCAAATTCCAACGGGTGGACACATTGCGTGGCATGTTGGTTACCGACATGTGCAGATCAATAAGAATCTTGTGCCAGACAGGCAGGAGGAGGGTAGTCGAGTGAATGAGCTTGTAGGCAAGTTTGTGCAGCTGTACAAAGGCATGGTCAATTTACAGGTGCGCTTCAATGTATTCTAACATACCTTGAGAAGAACTAACTTGACGGGTCATATGTTTTTTTTGCAGCTCAGCAGATTGTTCATCTGGCAACAAATCTACCTCATTCACCCATCCTTCATCATTGTTTTCAAGTGGTGGCTCCTCTTCCGATGCTTCATACTGAGCCGTTGTCTGCCTATCTTCCCTTTCAATGTCACTGCTCAACTCAACAAGCTTGTCATTGACACCTTCTGCATGCTTGTCCCAGGTACACTCAGCATCTTTCTTAGACACATTGAACTCACGAATCAACAACTTTGCAACGAGATTAACGGTGCGCAAAAACACCGAGTATGACTTGCTTCTCCTGCAAACTTGGGAACCAAGGTGGCAAGCTTGTCAACCATGACATTATTGTTTGATGTGTTGTCGCATGTTACGCTCAACATCTAATTGTCGCATTAGCATGTAAGTGTTTTTTTACCATTTAAAATGTTACCTTGTCTGATATCCCAAATTCCTTTAGCATCTCTGTGCAAGACAGCTGCAAGTTGTTCTCCAGTGTAGGACTAATACCAACGAGTCAATGCATGCACGGTCATTGATGTAAGTCATTTACTACATACTGTGGCCACTTCAACAATATCTAATGGAAAACTCAGTGGGATGCCTTCATGCTCGAGATGTACTGCAAACACAACAAAAGCGCGGTGGTTCTCTGATGTCCATGCATCTGTAGTAAAATTCATTTTGCCTTCATATTCCTGGTATTTTTAGTCTTCATCTGAAATTTAAACTGAATCACTAACCCCCGACATTGTAGCAATTCGCTGATGCGTTTGTGCGAACATGAGTCTTACATCACGCGAGACAGTCCTTGGGGAAGGTATGTAGTATTCGGGTCTCCCAGTCTTCATCAACAACTGAAAACCTCTATCTTTGACTATGTCAAATGGCCACAGGCTCTCCACTACCCAACGGACCAACTCAGCCCTGCATGATAGTATGTTAACTGGTGTTCACATGAAGCTTGAGGACCTACTTTGTTTCAGTACAGGTATGTTGCTGATGCGAGTATGTGACTTGTCCTTTTCCTTTATGCTCAAATGATGCTGTAATTGACCTGTCACACAGGACACCGGGGACAATCTTCATTTGAACTTCTTCGGCATTCTTCGCTTCATCAGCTGCCTGCAAGACTTCCTTACCCCAGCAAATCTTGACATGCTTTCACATGTTCCCTGTCGAACGTGCATCTTTTTTATCCAGGAACCAGCGAACACAGACTTTGCACCCCTTTGCCATGCACTTGAAAACGTGTGCATGATGTCCTTTGATTGTCAGAATGATGGGTGTAGGATCAAAAAATGCATAGATCGGTGAGTTCCACTCTTTCATTAGGTGTTCTGCACCTGACATTAGCTGGTACTTAGAGATCAAATCTAGGATCCTTACTGAGCTCATCTTCAGCAGTTTCTTCATCATTGCCATCTTCTCTCTCAGTCACCGATGGTAATCACATCATTATTCAACATGTCTTCTTCCTCTTAGTCTTCTTCCTCATCAGAGTGAACTACGGCTCGTCAGCTGGGTGCCACATGGACTTTAGGTGCAGCTGGCTCATCTGTTCGGCCCTGAGGCTGGCTGGGCACCAGGAGTTTAGGAGGTGCTTCTTCGACTCCATTACCACATTGTTGGGTTGACTTGGCCTTCTTGGGCTGTGTGCGCTGTTGTGCTACTATCTTTGTTCTTTCTTTTTTTAGACAAGGTTTCCAGCCTCTCGTCAATTGCTACCTTTGCTTTGTCTGTAAGTTTGGTGATACGTCTAGCAGTGGTCTTGAAAATTGTTGGGTGCATGGTGTCTTAGTGTCTCGTTGTGTTGTTTACTTTGTTGCTGTTGTATTTTAGGTTATGGTTTTAAGGTTCATGATATGTATAGCTTCAAATTATGTAAGATGCAACATATTCACCTGCAAACCCACTATGGGGGTATGGGTATGGGTGTGGGTATCCCAGGCTTATACCCCCACCCACACCCCAAGGTACCCATACCCATGACCCATGGTGGGTGCCTGGTACCCATGACATTGCCTAGCTATGTATCACTTGAGGAGCAGTTGGCAATTTTTCTGTACACTTGTGTGACAGGTTTGACAGTCAGACACATTGCAGAATGATTCCAGCATGAAAATGTTACTATTTCCAAGTTTGTGATTCAATATATGTTTCACACCTGACACTAACTCCCTTGTAGGTATTTCCTGCAAGATCTTAGAGATTTTTGCGTCCCACCCATTCTATACGACGCATGTACACCTTCCTGCTGACAATGCCCCTGTCTCCAGTGCTATTTGCGAACAACCCCAAATGATGGCCATACTTCCAGGATGCTATTGAAGCGATCGATGGCAGCCACATCCATGCGTTCCCTCCCTCCGCCACCCGCCACCTCTACTACAATTGAAAAGGTTTTGTCTCTCAAAATTGCCTCTTCATTTGTGATTTCAACCTCAATTTCACCTTTGCACTCACTGGATGGGAGGGATATGCAACCAATGGTGGGCTCTGGGATGTAGCTCGCAATGACGGGCTGAATCTTCCAGTGGGAAAATATCTTCTCGCAGACCTGGGGTTCCCCTCATGCCAACAACTTTTGGTCCCTTACCATGGCGTTCGGTACCATCTGGCTGAATGGGGTCGTGCCAGTGTCAGGTATGTCATAGGCTCTTTTTTTGTTATTCGGCTCATCAAACACTGCTTCCAGACCCACCAACAAGGAAGAATTGTTTAATCTTCAGCACGCATCCACTCACAATGTTATTGAACATATTTTCGGTGTTCTGAAGCAGCACTTTCGCATTCTTTTAGTATCCCTGGAGTACAAGATAGGGATTCAGGTGCGCATACCCACTGTGCTATGCGCTCTTCATCATTACATATGCGCTCATGACCCATATGAAGAGCCTCCAGGCCATAGTGTCATATTAGTGCATTAATACATGGTAGTTACAAGATACATGTTGTGCATTAACTATTGTAACTAGAAGATGCATGAATGTGATGCATTACCTACCCCCATTACATCAGCTACCACCGCATTTTTGGCTACCTGTGGGAACTTCCTCACAACACCCAAAACATAGCCCATTTTGGTCATCTCCTCAATATCAACCTTTCCCACACCTCTCCCCAGTATATTCCTGCTCACCACCACACCACATCCACCTATCTACTGTAGAGAAGTGTTAGTTTAGACTCTGTGCATATAATAGAACATATTATGATGCTTTTTTGTCTGTTTTTGTCCCAGTACCTGCTACAGACCCCTACAAATAAAATACAGTGGAAAACATATCAAAAACATGTCCGCATTTTCGCTCCTTTGATGACAGTGTGTTATGGGACATTGGTAACATGTTTTAGAGTGTAGATTAAACTATTCCACCGCTTATTTGATCCTCTGAAGAGTCCTACATCACTAGATGTAGCATGCAACCATAAAATACAAAATAGCTCCGCATTTTTGTGTTTTTTAACATATGGACTTAAAAATATAATCCCCAGCAACCCTTTAATAGTATACACAATATATCAGAAGCACAGAAGCACAGGACCAGTCCCTCTGGTGCTATGTTGCTACCCTTCCCTGGTGGTTCACCCCCTGAGCAAGTTTTTCCTAAAACTCCAGCCTTCCAGGGAGGTAGGGACTATATTTACATGTGTATATATAGTATATATATGACATAGAAATATCACAATAGTGACAGGATCCTCCTGTGCAGGCCAATATTTCCTCCTGCCTACATGGGTGCACATTTTCGCTTCTTTGATGGTTTTACCCCCTTTACTGTTGTACAAAGGACCCAAAAAGCTTATACACCATCAATAGTATGTATTTAGAGACCATAAACGACCAGGATCAGTAGAAAATAGGCTGGGTCATCTATATCAGGGGTATACCTGATATTCTAACTGATAAGGGTCCTCACACATCATCAGAGGGATTTATTATGATCAGACACTTGAGGTGTATTCCAAATACACTGAGAAACATAGTCCTCGATTACTAGAGAGATCTCACCGCAATTGAGAGCAGAGCAAGCATATAGATAACAATTAGACTGTGGGAAAGCTAGAAGTCAAAACATCGAAAACCACTACTATATGAACATGTGGCTATAGACCTCAAAATCACTTATACTTACACAACAACCCTTCTACACTACCTCTACCCTTGGGGTAAAGGGTAGTAAAGGTTATTTAGGTACTCTACTATGTACTTCACTGATTTTTAATAAAATCCTTGCCCTATATGTGCATGAAATATGATATTTATGTAACAGTAGACTATTGCCTCTAGAGATACTTCATATATTTTACTTCCCTGTTCATCAATTCTCCGTGGATCTCTCTAGTAATCGAGGACTATGTTTCTCAGTGTATTTGGAATATACCTCAAGTGTCCAACCATCCACTATGATGCTAACATATTTTGTGATTGCATGGCGACTGAGATGTGGGAAGATTACCAGACAATTTGCAGGAGCGTGATCTAATCAACATAGCTCACTCATTGGATATCGATGAAGACTTGGAGAACAAGGAGGACGTAGATGAGTACTATGGGAGTGAGGATGATGGCAATGATGCATAAATTCAGAATGTATAGTGTACATAGGACTACAACATAAAGATGCACTGCATATCAATGAATGGAGGCTATGTAACATGATTTGTAAGATGCAATGTGAAAAAAGATGAAGCAACAAGACGGCAATATGATTTCAATGAGCGAGAAGACGATTAGAATGCACCATACTCCCCCCTGTGAGCCTGCCAGATAACAGATTCTAAAAAGGGTAGACGATGCTCAGGCCTATTGAGCAAGTAGGTGGAGCATACAACTGGGCTCCTCATGATCATGTTCATGAGGGTGATCTTGTCATCTCGCAACACACCATCTTCGTCTTGCATCATGGACATGGCACTCGATCTTTCATCCACTGCCCAAGTTTCATCAGTACTGACCATCAATGCTGTGAGACTATCCATCAGGTGGTTGATGCAGCCTTGAAGGTTCATAAATGCAGCTGGTGCTGGCAGCATCCTTGGCAGCCTTTTTGCTGGAGCCACTAGTGATACGTGACATGCCAGTGTTGTTGCTGCTGCTGCTGCCACATGCTGATAATCTAGGTTTTTTATCAGTGCTGCTGGTGGGAGACTCCGGAACAGAGGTTCTGTGGGTGGTGGCAGAAAGGATCATATCAGAGTGTGAGCAGTTTTCCTGTGCTAGAAGCTGCCACTGAAGATGGGGGAGGGGGGAACATAGAACCTCTGGCCACAGGCCCAGGGCTTGGAAGTGTAGATATGATATGGCCCCATCCAAAGCCATCCAAGGCCTCTGCATTAGTGGCATCAACATCAGGTATGTTGCTAACACCACCGGCTGGTGGCAGCATCAGCCATGCTCGTATCAAGACCCAGAGCATCACCACTTGCTTTTGGGTCAGTACTAGTAGCGGCAGCAGCCACTGATGCTTGTGCAGCGAGTGAAGCTGGGTTATAGGCGGCTGCCCCAACAGCAGCTACTGCCGTGTGGCAGAATCTGCAACATCTTGGACCAAAATGGCCATCTGCTGTTTTTAAAAGGTTTCATAACCTCAAGACAAAATGTAAGCAGCAGACTGGAGGCTAAATGTATTTACATACCTTGTTGCTGCTGCTGGCATTGAGAAATTGCTCCCATGTGAGCTCTGCCAATGGCCCCTGAATATTGGCCCCATTAATACTGTCCCATTGACATCCCAATTGACTGTTCTGATATCTGTCTATCGCGCTGTGGATCTGTTTCAACTATAGGGGCAGTTGATGTTAGCAATGATCTGAGTGGGACAGATGTAACTCACAGTTGACCATTTCAGTCTTACACTGTGTCATGGTCTTGGCTTGTGCCTGAATCCCTGCTTCTTCAACCTTCTCTGTTATCTTCTTTGCAGCCTTGGTAAATGTCTCATCTTTGAATGTTGTCCCTGCGATCTTGGGTACCTGCGTGATTAGATAATCCAAGAGAGCCTCAACCTCCAGGGTGGTCTAGTGGGCTTTTGGTACAGATGGTTTGTTTTCATTTTTTCTGGTCATAGACAGAAGTTGAAACTGGGTACAGACAATGAGAACAGCTACAGTTGCAAAGATGCACTTTTGCTGCAGAGGATCATATTGATGGCTAATAGTAGTAGGAATTGTCATCATAGTTGGAGGGCAAGTGAATTCAAACTCCAACATGTCGGCTTTCATGCCACTCATGCACAATTTGTTTGGTTGGCTAAATTTTGTTCAAATAACGGTTGCTGAACAGGCTCTTATGCATTATGAGAATTATGTGTTAGGACATATGTCACAAGGTGTGAGATAGTGTGACTGCACTCAAAGATGTGACACATTTGCAACTCATACAGTACATATGTATATAATGAAAATAAGAGTCTATCATGGTTTGTGTTCCATGAAGAAGCTCATCAGCGTTGTAACTGAGTGCGAAAAAAGACGGATTTGCTTTAACAACTCGAGTGGAAATGGGGACTCAGCATTTCCAACCTGGAGACTGGCTCCTTCGAGCCATTGACACAGTACCAGTGTTTCCGCATGAGAAACCTCTGGTTCAGGGTCCTCTTCTTCATCAGAGACCTCAATCACCTCACCCGCTTTCTCTGCCATCTCTTGTTTTACTGCAGCAACAATAGCCTTATCCCTGCCTTCAAATTCAAGGGAATCTCCAACTTCTTGTTCTTCGGCTGGCTTGAGAAACTTGTCTAAAGATGGTGGCTCACCAAAAATGTGATTACGAGCCCTCAAATCTTGCAGAGAGGTGGTGACTTCATTCTCGATGGCTGTGAGTTGGGTGAGAGGGGGTTGGCTGTGTGGGAATTCGAAGTTTTAGACCAGTCTGTTGGCAAGCAGCTTGTGTGAGCTGCTCGACTGTGCTTGCAGCTGCATCCGAGTCCCCTTCTGCATCCATCATGGCCTTGAAAGTGGGCCTCCAATTGGTGTCGGCATAACGAGTACCAAGGATTTTTTCCACGCGCTTCTCTGCTTCTGGCAATGACATCTCAGTTGTTGCGAAATCTCGAATAACACGCCATGCATCCAGGTCTGCATGCGGCAAAGGATTTGATGGTGCTTGGCTTAGAGTGGATGGGTCCCTAGTATATAGAATGAGTTTGATAATACAAATAAAAATAAGATGACTGACGGCTGGATCTGGGTGTGATCCCAGCAATGCTTGATTGTTGTTGATGAGATGCTGTTCCATGCGGCACGAGCCATCATCATCCCTTCAAGGAGATTGTTCTTGTAGATGTTTTGTTTGCCTGCTTCATCAAGATCAGTTGCATGTCCACAGAAATTGTAGCAGTACAGTGTGTTAAGACCGTGCTCAGGGGTAAGACAGAGTCTGGGGGGCTTGGCTTCAGCTCGTACGCTGTGCCCCTTACCCGAGTACATGCCCCTAATTTTGGATTGTAGTCTGACTCAAGTTCTATGAGCTCTGACAGGACGTCAGAGTAGAGGTCCTCTGAAGGAGGACAGATGGACTACTAGATAAGCGCAGGCATGTTCGGACGGAGATTGGTCCGCCCTACAGGGGAGAGTCGGAGGGCTACTGCAGTCGGAGCTAACAGTAGGAACGGAGTGGGGAAGACTGCTCGGACGAAGTCCGAAGCAGAATGGAAACACGGAGGATAGAGGTACAAGAGGATTGGCCACAAGTCCGACATGCGGGAAAGGTGGCAGAGGCGTGGGAATTTGGACAAGTGGAGAAGGTGGCCGACCTATGGAGTCAATCCCCTAGGCCGGCAAACAGGAGTTGTCAAGGGTTTTTGCCCAAGAGCAAGGACAAGAGAGCAGGGCTTAGAAAAGGTAATATTCAGACTGAGTATCTACAGACAAATGTACATATGTTTATATACTCTAAGTAAGTAGCATAGCATAGCAGAAGGCTATGTGCTGAGTGTACAGGATTACAAGAGGGATGACTGAGACATAAGAGAAAGAGGCTTGGAGAATAGTATGTACGCGACAGATCAATAATCACTCGGGTATGGGATTACCGGTGATCCGAAAGGAAGAACTATGATACTAAACAGAGATAGGACCAGTTGAATGGTTCCTAGTCTAGGAGTGGACTGGTGAGGCGGTTGGGCGGACTAATAGTCAGGTGGGGCAATATGAGCGGAACTGAAGGAACTGAGTGGGTCAGAAAAGCGGATGGAGTAGGATCGGGCAGACCGATAGGGTGGAGGAGCGGAACTCCAGATAGGGTCGGATGGAAAGGGTATGGTGTCAGAGGGAATAGGGGTAGCATTGGAGGAGCGGAGCAGAGTCAGGCAGAGGTAGCAGGGCTAGTCCTGCTGAGATGCACTTCATGCATTGTCGGGGCAGGAGGAATGAAGCGGACGGGGAAACAGGGGGTCGGACCAGCAGTAGGGATGCTCACAGGTGGTGTTGGAGGTGCTCAGATCCGGTATATGACACAGTGCCTTAAAGCAGCGGATAATCCCTGCATCACAAGGCTGCATGAATGATGTCATATTTGGCTCGAAAAATTTGAGTTGCACATTTGTTGGCTCATAAGATATTGTGTGCCTGGAGAAATTGTCCATAAATAGACACACATGTCAACTTTCGCTATGCATCTTGTAATCAAATTTCTTGACCCATCTGTACATAGTCCAGTCAGCTCACGACTAAGCCAAAAAGAATTGATTCTTTTACTCTTTAAAGAGGATAGCTGTCATCCAGGCTTTCTTATTGTTGCGGTAATAGAAGCCTCGTTGCTTGGGTGACTGATTTTTAAAGCATTGTGGCTTCTTGGATTTCCCAATGTAGATCACATCAAAATTTTGGCTGCCATCAGCATTGCATGCAAGCCCAACAGTTATATGAAACTTTTCTTTCTTCTTCCCACTCATTTGCTTTGTTGTGAGACCATGATCTGGTGGTGCACTAGATACTATGATAAGCATTCAAGTTGTTGCAATTTGAGTTTAGGAGATAGGACTTACAAAGGAAAGAAGCTTATTTCATCAAAGTTCTACTAATCTTGCGGTGCAAATTTAGACAAGATCTCTTCACATCGTTTACGGTCGACTTCAACAGCATCAAGATCAACTGACCCTGCTTCCCCATGCTGCTGATGCTCACAGATTTTGTAAGCCCTACAAAATGGTGCCAACCACCCCTCTCCTGAGAGCCGCTCCTCCTCTGGCACTTCAAACAGTTCTTCAAATCTCCGCCACTTTTCCTTCATCATTGGCCCATTGACATGCTCTCCCTTCTCCTCCATGTCCCTGACCCATAAAAATAGTGCCCTGTCAACATCAGGCCTTGTGATGATACATGGTCGCTTTGATGACAAAGCATTTGGATTGTCATTGATGTGTGCTTCCAATGTTAAATGTTCCTTTAACTTCCGTGACAAAGTTGACTGCATGAAAATTAAAGCCCCTGACTGAAGGCTCTTGAAGTGATTCACAATGTCACATTGTGGCATTGCTGGGTGTGCATCAATGTATGCAAAAACTGTCAACCAATCACTGAGAGTGAGGTTTTGGCATGAGGCTGTGTGAACTGTTGGTTGTGTAGAGGTCACTGGGGTGTCTTTGACCTTTGGTTTTTTGGGCTGTCTCTGATAGGGTGCAGGTTTGTCACAAGGTGTTCATTTCTTGGAAGTCATTGTAAGAATGAGGTGGGCACTACAGTCCTTCGCAACATAGTCCAGACTCCCTCCAAATACATTAAAATTCAATGATCCGAACAAGACCACTGTTAAGGTCGTGCTCAAGGGAGAGGTTACTCAAAGGGCTTTGGCTTCAGCTCGTGCGCTGCGCCCCTTACCCGAGTACGTGCCCTTTAATTTCCGGGGGACAGAGGGGAAGTCCGATGGAAGTCTGGGGAGTTCTGGAGGACTTAGTGTCGGTGGAGTTTGGCGGAACTCTGGGAGGTTTATACTGGGATGGAGTAAGGCTACTATGGAAGTCCAGAGTAGAAACTGAACAGAGGTTAGACTACCCTAAGGCAGAGCCGGAGAAGTAGTCCTAAGGTTTAACCCCTAAGACTCGGAGGCAGACAAGAGATGAGACTCAAGTCCGGAGATTGCAGGAATGAGCAGAACTAAGATGGAGAGTCGGAGGTATAGTCAAAGGAATCAATCCTAAGACTCAGAGATTGACAAGAGACAAGCTCGAGTCCGGAGGTACAGGAATGAGCAGGAACTAAGGTGATATTCGAACTGAGGAGTTCCGGAGTATTACAGGGGTTTATATACTGTAGGTAACATGTAAGTAAATCAGTCAGCAAAGGTAAGGGCTATGTATGAAGCATGTGGAAAGTCTATTACTAAGTGTAGCGGATCAAAGCAGTGAAGTCGGAAATGAAGTAGGAATGGACGGATCAATAAGCATAGCGGAAAGAACATAACTGGTAACCGGAGCAATAGCTAATCTAAAAGGAGTTAGGGGTGAGTGCAGAGATGAAGGCGGAGCACCAGGCGGAATAGTAAGATGGAAGACTGGACTTTAATGGAGTAGATCCGGAATTCTGGATCTGGAGGTATGGGATATGACAACCACCCAGCCAAAAGTGCTATCTCATAATGCATAATGGTCACTCAAGTCTATGCATTATGCATTATGCATTATGATTCAATTTCTCACTGTCCCATAGCAGGACCATCCCAAACATGATGCACTATGAGATTTATGCAATATGACCCTATGCATTATGAAATATTGTACTGTACTAGACTATGTTCCAAAGTCGAGGAGACATTGAGGCATGATGTGTGACCTGTTATGATGCTCAGATGATTAGATGGGGTATGTCGGAAATTTCCTAAGTCGGTTGCAACCTGTTAGGTACTGTGCCGGCTCAGGAAGCGGAGGGGTCAGGGCTTGGCTTCAGCTCTTGCGCTGCGCCCTTAGCCGAGTACGTGCCTTGAATTTGGAGCGGGTCCAACGTTGTCTGACAATAGGACAAGTGGTCCACTTAGGTCCGCTTTGAGGGTCGGGAGGTAAGAGCTACTAGCAGAGGACCGACTAGGAGCGGAGTGGAGAGGATGGAGGATAATGGGGAGGGTGGAGAGGAGCAGGGGGAATTCTTGATAGGAGCAGAGGAGGCGGAGGATAATGCGGAGGGCAGAAAGGAGCAGTGTTAAGACCGTGCTCAGGGGTAAAGCGGAGTCTGAGGGGCTTGGCTTCAGCTCGTGTGCTGCGCCCCTTACCCAAGTATGTGCCCCTAATTTCGGAATGTAGTCCGACATGAGTTCTATGAGTTCCGACAGGAATGTTGGAATGGGGGTCCTCTGAAGGAGGACCAACTGACTACTAGGTGAGCAGTGGGAAAGCCGGGCAGGGGTTGTTCCGCCTGACAGGAGGGAAGCAGGAGACTACTGCGGTTGGAACCAACAGTAGAAGCAGAGCAGGAAGGAACTGCTTGAACGAATTCCGAAGCAGAGAGGAACAGAGGGGACAGATGTGAGAGTGTGGGGTCTAGTTCCAACGCACAGGAAGTCGGAGGAGCGGAGGGACGAAGGAACGGGGGAATGGGGGAATGGGGGAACGAGGGAACTGGGGGAACGGAGGGTGGGGGAACGGGGGAATGGAGGGTCGGAGGATCGGAGGGTGGCCGACCTAGGGAGTCAATCCCCTAGGCCAGCTAACTGGAGTTTGACTAGGATCAGGCCCAAGTCAAGGAACAGAAGAGCAGGGCTTAGAAAAGGTAATATTCAGACTGAGTATCTACAGACAAATGTACATATGCTTATATACTCTAAGTGATGAGCATAGCATAGCAGAAGGCTATGTGCTGAGTGTACAGGATTACTAGGAGGATGACTGAGACATATGAGAAAAGGCTCGAGGAACAGTATGTACACAACAGATCAGAATCACTAGGGTATAGGGATTACCAGTGATCCGAAAAGTGGAACTATGATACTAAATGGGGATAGGACCAGTTGAGTGGTTCCTAGTCTAGGAGTGGACTGGTGAGGCGGTCGGACAGACTAACAGTCAGGTGGGGGAATACGAGCGGAACTGAGGGGCCCCCATGGGTCGGAAGAGTGGAGGGAGTAGGAGTAGGATCGGGCAGGACCGATAGGGCAGAGGAGCAGAACCCCAGATAGGGTCGGATGGAAGGGGTATGGGGTTGGGGGACATAGGGGTAGTGTTGGAAAAGCGGAATGGGGTCGGGCGGAGGTAGCAGGGCTAATCCTGCTGAGATGCACTTCATGCATTGTCGGGGAAGGAGGAATGGAGCGGACGGGGAAACAAGGGGTCGGACCAGGGGTGGGGATGTTTACAGGTGGTGTTGGAGGTGCTCGGATCCGGTATATGACAAGCAGGGGGAATACTTGATAGGGGCGGAGAAGTCAAGAGAAGACTTAGAGCACGACTCTAAGTCGGAGCAGAGGGTTGGGGGTGACAACAAGATGAAACTTGTGTCCAGAGGAGGCAAGGTCCTACTGAGAATTCTCACAAGTAGTAACTGTGAGAAGACAAGTAATATTAAGACTGGGGAAAATATCTAAATACAGGATATGTTATATACTTCTATGTATGAGGCAGTGATCAGGATAACTATGTTGTAAAGCTATGTACCAAGGATATAGTTTGTAAGTACTTTACACAGGCGAAGGCATAAGTCGGAGCGGATATCAATATGTACGCATCGGATCAGTGATCAACCAGTAATAGGAATTACTGGTGATCCAGAAGTAAGGGTCTATGTACCAAAGGGGGAAGTATATATCTAAAAGGGGAAAGCAGATCCAGTTGAATGGAGACATTATGGAAGGGGACCGGTTGGGCGGTTGAGCGGAAGTGTAGAAGCGGGATGTGGACTGTGATTGGACGGAGCGGAGGATGGATGGAGTGGAGGTGGTCGGAGAGCGGAGCGGATATCAATATCAGAGCAGGTCAGATCAGGTATATGACACAACCGCGTACCTTTGAGACTCGGTATCAACCATATTGATACTGGGTCGAGATCTTTGTACCTATGTTCCATATTGATACTTAGTAGGAATATTTATACTGAAGTTACCACATTGATAGGGAAATTGGGTTATTTGTGGTGAGTCACATTATTGATACCGGGTGACAGCCTCATTGAGACTTTGATTATGTACTTTTGAATTGTATGTCTTTGATTCCAGTGTGCGCTGCAGTGCTGTCCGATCAAGTCAACACTTCCTCCTGTGACACAACCATTTGTGGCCCCCAATAGGTTTTTTCCGTCTTGCTAACCTGTCAGTATCATCTTAAAGTCTGAATCTAATACTTTAGTCTACTGATGCATTAATATGACAGAGGGCCATAACTGTTATTATGCCTGACGATCACCATCACCTGTGTTCATTTTGTGGCGCATCCTACTATTGACAAGGTCTTCAGACACACAAAAATGCATGTCAGAAGCGATCTGAACAGATGAGAGAGGATATTGAGCTTGCTAAAGAGATTTGCCAAGGTATGTCATAATAACAGTCTGTTGATTGATGTCACATTGATTAATCAACCTGCAGAGAGAGAAAATAATGTGCAAATATGGTCTGAGTCCGCATTCATTGGCAAACAACTGTCCAGCTCAGTTCTTTGTATATTGTGACTAATATCTAGTTCACAGCCTTTACCATTCTTGACTTGTTTTGGGCCTTTGATTCAAGCTGCTGCCTATCATCATTCATGGGATAATGATGTTTTTGATATCAATGGTCCTATAGACTATCCTGATGATCACAATATTGGACAGATGAATGGTATGTTTCTTTTCTCCACCACCCAAATCTGGAGCAGCCTCACCTCAACCCCAGTTTGAGGAGGATGACATCTGGGTGCTGTTACAGGGACTTTATGTATCCACCTCAGCACCACTTACTCTTTTTCTCCTATCATTCATAATCACTATCCATCAAACCATTCTCTTGGCTTATCTTTGGTGGCTTATCGCTATCTCCCCGCTTATATGGTTCATTTGTTATCTCTGACTCAAACCCCATGCCCTTACCACAGTGTCAGTACTTACCCTTGGCCCTTACCGCTCAACTGGTACACTTACTTTTGCATATATAAATGGTTGTGTATGCTGTAGTAGCCCTAACTTGAATCTACTCAGTATCACTCCTAAAGCCTTAGGGACAGAGGGATAGTGTTAGAGACCATGCTCAAATGGAGAAGCGGAGGGGTCAGGGCTTGGCTTCAGCTCTTGCACTGTGCCCTTAGCTGAGTACATGCCCTGAATTTGGAGTGGGTCTGATGATGTCTGACGATAGGACGGGCAGACTGCTTTGGTCTGCTTTGCGGGTCAGGAAGTAAATGCTACTAGCGGTGATCCAACTAGAAGCGGAGTGGGTGAAGCGGAGGAGGTGTGTTGGGACAGAGGGGAGTAAAGGGTTTGATTGGTTGGGTCGGAGAGGTAAGAGTAAATACTTAGAGCACGGCTCTAAGTTGGAGTGGAGGGTCAGAGGTGACAACAAGATAAACTTGTGTCTGGAGAGAGAGCAAAGTCCTACGGAGAATTCCCACTAGTAGAGACTGTGGGAAGACAAGTAATATTAAGACTGGGGGAGTAGCTAAGTACATGGTATGTTTTTATATATGTACTTCTATGTAGGGGGCAGTGACTAGTAGTCCTTGGTATGAGGCTATGTACTGAGCATAATTTGTAAGTAGCCACAGGTAAAAAACATAAGTCAGGGCGGATATCAATATATACACGTCGTGTTAAGACCATGCTGAGGGGTAAGGTGGAAGTCTGAGCAGCTTGGCTTCAGCTCGTGTGCTGCACTCCTTACCTGAGTATGTGCCCCTAATTTTGGATTGTAGTCTGACTTGAGATCTACGAGCTCCGAACAGGATGTTGGAGCGGAGGCCTCTCGAAGGAGGACCGATGGACTACTAGATGAGTGCGGGAACTTCGGGCGGAGGTTGGTCCGCCCGACAGGAGAGAGTCGGAAGGCTACTGCAGTCAGAGCTAATAGTAGGAGCAGAGCGGAGGAGACTGCTCGGACAAAGTCCAAAGCAGAATGGAAACAAGGAGGACAGATGTACAGGAGTATTGGTCACAAGTCCGATGGGTGGGAAAGGTGGCCAAGGCATGGAAAGTTGGATGAGCAGAGAAGGTGGCTGACCTAGGGAGTCAATCTCCTAGGCTGGCAGACAGGAGTTGTCAAGGGTTTTGCCCAAGAACAAGAGCAAGAGAGCAGGGCTTAGAAAAGGTAATATTTAGACTAAATATCCACAGACAGATGTACATATGTTTATATACTCTAAGTAAGTAGTGTAGCATAGCAGAAGGCTATGTGCTGAGTGTACAGAATTACTAGAAAGATGACTGAGACATACAAGAAAGAGGCTCAGAGAATAGTATGTACATGACAGATAAATAATCGCTCGGGTATAGGGATTACCTGGTGATCCAAAAGGAGGTAGGACCAGTTGAGTGGTTCCTAGTCTAGAGGTGGACCAGTGAGGCAGTTGGGCGGACTAATACAAGAGAAAATGGAGGAACCAAGTGGGTCGGAAAAGTGGAGATGGTGGAGGGAGTAGGAGTAGAATCAGGCGGACCAATAGGGTGGAGGAGCGGAGCTCCAGATAGAGTTGGATGGTAGGGATATGGTGTTGGAGGAAATAGGGGTAGTGTTGGAGGAGTGGAGCAGGGTTGGGCGGAGGTAGCAGGGCTAGTCCTGCTGAGATGCACTTCATGCATTTGTTGGAGAAGGAGGGCTGGAGTGGACGGGGAAACAGGGGGTTGGACCAGTGGTGGGAATGTTCACAGGTGGTACTGGAGGTGCTCGGATATGGTATATGACACATCAGATCAGTTAGTCGAGTGGTTATAGAAAGTACTGGTGATCCAGGAAGTAAGTGTTATGTGCAAATGGGGAAAGTATATACCTAAATGAGGAAAGAGTTTACAGTGAGTGGAGACAATGCAGAAAGTAACCAATGAGGTGGTCGAGCAGAAGCACAGGAGTGGATGTAGAGGACGACTGGGTCGAGCAGAGGGCGGACAGAGCGGAGGTGGTAGAAAAGCAGGGAAAGTGTAAGGTCAGGCAGAGCGGATATTAATATTGTCGGAGCGGTCGGATCAGGTATATGACAGATAGCACAAAAGCTAGATAGCAAGCCTCATCGCTTCTATTAATCTACTTCTTATTCTACCTTGGACTCTCTGTCCAGATAGTCTCATCAAACAATACTTTGTTGCACTAGACCGACACCCCTTGCAAGTGTCTAGTGTGGAACCAACTGAGTTTGTAACAGGTGCAGTATCATCCAAATAGTTGGTGCCCTACACAGGTTTATCATTTTGAGGAATATGGATGTGGTCCTGGTGCCTCCATAGTAGTTCCACCAGTTGAACCTGAGCCATGGTGCCCATTCCGAACTTGGATCAACTTTGAAGTTGCAGAACTCACCCTATGAAGCAGCGCTCACTCACCAGCAGACGAACCGGCTTCTCAACCTCATTTGTTGCAGCAAGTATGAACAATTCATGCTTTGAAATTGCAAAGATGTATGAGATACATGGGATGCAGCTTCATATAAATTGACACCTGTTAGTATTCAATTGCTTCGAGCGTGAACTAATCTAAGTCATTTTTCCTTTGCGATAATAGTTTGTAAAGGAAGAGGTAGTTGTGCCTTTTTAAGGTGATGATAAGACATTTTAACTATTCCATCGCTTGATATGGGATTGGGCTGTGAATCTCCTTCAGGATCCCCAAGTTGGTCCACATTTTGTCTTTGATGCTAAACAGCTTTTGAAGTTTAATGGACGACAAATTTGTTTGGTTCATTCATGAGCCTTGAACTGCCAACACATTCTGGGAGTATCAAGTATGCAACACTATTATTTTATGGATCTGTGTCATGTATTAATGTAGCATTATAATAGTCAAAAATACCACCAGATACCAAGCCTCTTACCTTCATTCTTTTTGCCGATAAGACTAAATTATCATTATTTGGTTGGGCAAAAGGCTATCCTGTTGTCACTTGGTGTGCTAACATTCCTGCTACAATTTGTAATGGAGAAGGCTTGGGTGGTGGGTGTGTAGTGGGATGGCTACCAATTGTTAATTCTGCACTTCACTTGATGACCATGAACATTGTTAACTAATGGCACTTTGACAGGTGAAGGAGGACAAGAAGCACTTTGGAAAGCTGGCATTTATTAACTTCAGAAATGCAGTATGGCATCAATCATTTCTGAAGATCCTTGCCTGCCTCACACCACTGTCAAAGATTGGATCTGCCATTAAATGCTGGGATGACCTTGTCCATATCTTCTATCCAATCATACTCATACTCTCTGCAGACTATGAAGAACAGTTAGTGTTGATTTTAGTCTAATTAATGGTCCCTCAGTAATATCCCTGACACTCTTGCAGGTCTGTGATGGCATTGATTTGTGGTCTGATGTGAAAATTCCCTTGCCCTATATGTCTTGTACCTCATGATGAGCTTTCTAAGACATCTGATGTGTATCCTCTTTACACATCTGCAGGTGCAAAGGCATTATGTGCTTGGGCCCAAGAGTCTACAACATTGGAAGCAAGAGAGCAAATATTTAGCTCTGAGAGCCTTTGTGATGTTGATGTAAGTCTTTCCTTTGGTTCTCATCCTAATTTTAAATTGTCTACCATTTGTGATTAGAATTCATTTGATACCATGGAGCATACTGATGTTTATCAAGCTCTTCACATGACAAACTCCGCTTTAATGACAAAGGCCTTTTCAGTGATCACCAGTGGGCTGAACTGCAGAAATAGGTCGAACATTTAGGTTGACAAGCTGCTGTGCTGATTGATAGCTTGTGCGCACTTTTGTCTATATTTTACAAAGACACTAATTTAGATTTCCAGCTTTCACTTGTTTCCACACTGGCAAAATCTCAATCATTTTGACCAGGTTGTATCAGTATCTTTTCTGATGGAACAAAGTACAAAGATATATCAAAGGCAGGTTATATACTCTAGACTATTTACTATTCAATCAATTAATGTAAATCATAAATCTAGCTTATTGTCTTTGCAGCTCATAATGTATTTAATCAAGATCAAGATCCGGAGGCTTATCTTCTGCTCTGTTGTATTTGTAGCTACATGGAATTCAAGATATATGCTTCATTAGAGGTCCATACTGAAGATACTATCAACAATGGCCGAAAAGCTCTGGCAAAGTTGATTGAACTGATGTATGTATGTTCCATTGGATACTATATTCTCAACCAACAACATTGATTCAAATTCTATTATGTGACCAGTCATGGAATTTCCTCAAGAAGCATCTTTCCATGCATCTTTTCAATGATATTGAGGTGAAAGGTGTCACTTGAAACTATAACACAAAACCAAATAAAAAAATGCTATGGCCCACTGAAGGATGTTTATCAGGATTGTACGAACTTCAAGAACTTCACTGAACAGGTAATATGATGCTGCATATTAGTATGTGAACTGAGTGCTGATAGAATTTAAAGATTCTCTGATATAATCACGATAGCCTTATTGCAGAATACATTCATGGCAAGTTGAACTGCCTTGATGCACAAAATCTCAGTCTATCTGAGTCAGATCTACCTGATCCAGAGGCCAATGAGATTGATTCAGAGACTGAACCAACAGATGGGCTACATTTCGGTCTTGGCTCACAGCAGGCAACACAGGCAATCCAGCCTTCATTCAATTTCAGATCAAGCTGAATGATTTTTTCAACCATGCATTCAATGCCAACAACATACCATTGCCTGATGGGAGATGAATCCAACTCACTGCTAATGACATGGTGTGTCAACATTGCAGCCCTAAAACACATCTTTACTAATATCTTATTAATACTTTTGATCTGAACCATTGACAGATCACTGAGTATTGATTGTCAAAGTCAACTCTGAATCACTTATTGGCTGGCGAGTATCCACTGACTATCTCCAATGCAGTCCAATGTTCCATGGATTGCCATGATATGATTTTGTTATTCTGCAGACAGAAGCTAGTGCCATCTTCACACAATTGTTGTTGGTTTTCACCTGCACGGTTGGGGATGTCCAATATCCTATTGTGCTCACTCTCCTGTATGATCAATCTGTTGGTGCTCATCCATGGAAGGATAAAGATTTTGACCCCCAGCAAGTTAAGGCAAGGCCTAGAGTCTCCATAGAATTCTTTTCAGTGCAGTCCATCATCCGTGGTTGTGTATTGGTAGAAGCTGTTACAGGGACTTTATGTAAGCCCTTCGGCTCCGCTTATTCTTTTCTTCCTATCATCTGCCACCACTATCCGTCGCCAAAGCGACTTCCATCTGACCATTCTTCTGGCTTATCTGTTCTGGCTTATCATTCTTGCGCCACTTATATGGTTTATCCATTATCTCTGACTCACACCCTATGCCCTTACTGTATCGTCAGTACCACCCTTGACCCTTACCACTCAACCAGTACCTCTTACTTTTCGTATATAAAGGACTCCGTATACTGTAGTAGTCCTTAACTTGAATCTACTCAGTATCATCCCAGCGCCTCAGGACAGAGGGATAGCAAGACAGCTAGATAGCAAGCTCATCACTTCTATCAAACTACATCTTATTCTACCTTAGACTCTTCGTCTAGGTAGTCATACAATCAAACAACAACCATCGCACTAGATCGGCACTCCTTGCGGGTATCTAGCATGGAACCAACTGAGTCCATAACAGAAGCCAGTAGCAGACCTAATGAGGCTTTGGTTATTGACACTCTTGATACAGATATATTCCTTTGCATGAAGGAAATCCATACTACTTAATACTGCAGCTGGTTAGTAGGTTACTTGTGGTCAACTTGTTAAACTTGTTCACCTCTGGTCAGTGGCTTAATTTGTTCAACTGGACCAAACTACTGTGGTTGTGGTTTCTATTCCAGCATCCACTCGGCTCATTCTTGGATGGATCATCTGGCAAGATTCAAAAAGCTGCAAAGTGCTGGGCCCATCAGCCATGACACATTCTGTCCCTTAGATACCAACTTCTGTGGAAGGCCTGAGTCCACCCACCAGTACCTGAGTCATGCACAAGATGCAGGAAGAGCCAGCATATTTGTTCACCAATGACCCATGCTGAGAGATGTAGCTGCCTGCCCGCTACATCAATACCCCTTATTTGCAAAATGCAGGGTCCTTGTCATATACTGCATGTCCAAACCTGGAACTCTGGATCCTCCCCTGTAAAACCCAAACTTCTGCCCTGTCCTCCATCCAGCGCTCTGCTTTCATCTCCGGATTTAAACCTAACCTTATGCCTATCTCCTTTAAGACCTCCTTTTCTCTGGTTACCAGTTATATACTTTTCTGCCTTGCTTACTGATCTGTCTCTCAGTATTCATTTCCAACTCCATGTCTTTAATCTGTTACATACTTACTAATAGACTTTCCACATGCCTCGTACATAGCCTTTCACTGTGCTGACTGATTACATACTTGATACCTACAGTATATAAACTGTTACATGAAACCACTCAGATGAGATCCAGTGGTGCTAAACCTAGCAAGGGGTGTTCGTAGTTGTCATATACTGGATCCAAGCACCTCCAATACCACCTGTGAACATCCCTACCGCTAGTCTGACCTCCTGTTTCTCCATCAGCTCAATCCCTCCTTCTCCAACAATGTATGAAGTGCATCTCAGCAGGACTAGCCCTGCTACCTCCACCTGACTCTATTCCGCTCCTCCAACACTACCCCTATTTTCTCCGACACTATATCTCATACCTCTGGATCCAGAATTCCGGATTCTCCCCTACAAAAATCTGGTTCTCTGTCCTGTTGTCCACCCAGCACTCCACTTTGATCTCCAGACTCACACCTATCTCCTTTTAGAATACTGCTCTCTGGTTACTGGTTGTACATCTTTCCGCTTTGCTTACTGATCCATCTGTTTGCACTTCATTTCCAACCTCATTTCCTTGATCCATTCTACACTTACTAATAGACCCTCCATATGCTTCAGACATAGCTTTTACTGTGCTGACTGATTACTTACATGATACCTACAGTATATAAACTCCTGTAAAACTCTGGAACTCCTCAGTTCAAATATCATCTTAGTTCTGCTTATTCCTGCTTCTCTGGACTTGAGTCTGATCTCTTGTCTACCTCCAAGTCTTAGGGTTATTCCTTAGGACTATATCTCCAGCTCTACCTTAGGGTAGTCTAACTCTGTTCCGCTTCTACTCTGGACTTGTCTGTAGTAGCCTTACTCTGTTCATTCCTAGCCTTCTGGAGTTCTGCCAAACTCCCCCTATGTCTGACCTCCGGACTTACCCGGACTTCCATCAGACATCCCCTCTGCCTCTCAGAAATTAAGGGCACGTACTTGGGTAAGGGGCGCAGCGCACGAGCTGAAGCCAAAGCCCTTTGAGTTGTCTTTCCCTTGAGCACGACCTTAACAGTAGTGTAGCTTTCAGCGCTAGCCCAGCAAGGAGCTTGTCTGCACTCGATCTGAGTAAGGGTTGAGGCCCTTACTTGCATAGAGTTGATTGGAGATTCTCAAGGATGTGATCCAGGAGAGCAGAGTTCAACTCAAGAGTATTGTCTCAAGAGAAGATGGTTCTTTGCACTAAGAGAGTTCTTTTAGGTAAGAGAAGTTCAGACCCAAAGACAAGTACAAGATGAGAACCAAGTAGATTCAAGTTAGAGAACCTAATTGCAAGGGGACTCGTATATATATGCAAAGTAAGGGTACAGGGTATGCAGAGGTAGTACTGAAGCATCGGTAAGGGTCAAGGGTATGTGTGAGTCACAATCAGGAAAGGGTAGGGCATAGGGTTAGATAGAAGCAGTGGCTTCTTTAATCTAGGGGAAGAAGTGAAAGCTTCTCATGTTTCAAGACAATGCAATCAAAGGAAGGAAAGATATAAACAGAAATGTAACCATGGTCCTGGTCTAGACGAGTCTGGGGAATGAAATAACATGTAACACTCATGTTACTGTAATATAAACTCCTGTAAAACTCCATACCTCCCCAGTTGGAATATCATCTTGGTTCCTGCTCGTTCCTGTCTCTCCAGACTTGAGTTTATCTCCTGTCCATCTCCAAGTCTTTGGATTCAATCCTTAGACTATATCTCTGGCTCTACCTTAGGGTAATCTACCTCCATTCTGTTTCTACTCTGGACTTGTTCATAGTAGTCCTACTCTAGTTACTCCTGACCCTCCGGAGTTCTGCCAAACTCCCCCTGTGTCTGACCTTGTTAAGACTGTGCTCAGGGGTAAAGCGGAGTCTGAGAGGCTTGGCTTCAGCTCATACACTGCACCCCTTACTCGAGTATGTGCCCCTAATTTCGGAATGTAGTCCGATATGAATTCTATGGGTTCTGACAGGACGTCAGAATGGGGGTCCTTTGAAGGAGGACCAACGGACTACTAGGTGAGCACAGGAAAGTCGGGTGGGGGTTGTTCCGCCCGACAGGAGGGAGGCGGGAGACTACTGCGGTCGGAACTAACAGTAGAAGCAGAGCAGAAGGAACTGCTTGGACAAAGTCCGAAGCAGAGAGGAACAGAGGGGATGGATGTGAGAGTGCGGGGTCTAGTTCCGATGCACGGGAAGTCGGGTGAGCGGAGGGGCGGAGGAACGGGGGAACGGGGGAACGGGGGAACGGGGGAACGGGGGAACGGGGGAACGGGGGAACGGGGGAACGGGGGAACGGGGGAACGGGGGAACGGGGGAATGGGGGAACGGGGGAACGGGGGAATGACAAGCCACTCAAAGTCATCATATACCTCACATGCGCCATCATGGCACACGGATTCCATGTAGGTAATAGTGGGTGTTTATACATAGTAGAGTACAAAGTAATAGCAAAAGGTACAACATACCACAGTGTACAACAGGTTAGATTAAAATGAAGAGTCAGATCATACACGGTACCAGGACTAGATGGAAAGTGGAAGATACAAAAGAAACTCAGAATGGACTAACATGTGCCTCTTACCTTGATTGAGTCAGGGGTGGAGGAATGTACCTAATGTCAGAGATATGTATTGAAAGGCAGAGGAGCATTGATGAGGGCGGAGGACTATAACTGAGGTCAGAGGAGACTTGTGTGGATTGTAGATATGACACCTTCCCATTGCTGCACCTGCACCAGCCATCACCCTGGTTCCTATTACTACAACAATACTCCCTGCTGTTCCAGTTTTTCTCACAGCTGATGAATCCCCTCCAGTCATTGTGCCTGCCACTGTCAATAGTCCAGGCATCACCACAGTTCCCAACATACCTAACAATGTGGAGATGCTACCAGCAGCAGCTTCATCCTCTGGTCGGTGGGGCCAGGGAAGGGGAAAGAGGGGTGGGCTAGTAGCTATATCTTTATTAGCAGAGCAGTGGGAAACTGTTAAGGTTGTGCTCAAGGGAAGAGTAACTCAAAGGGCTTGGCTTCAGCTCGTGCGCTGTGCCTCTTACCCGAGTATGTGCCCTTAATTTCCGAGAGATAGAAGAGAAGTCCGATGGAAGTCTGGGTAAGTCCAGAGGTCAGACGTGGGGGAGTTTGGCAGAACTACGGAAGGCTAGGAGTGAATAGAGTAAGGCTACTTCAGACAAGTCTGGAGTAGAAACGGAGCAGAGATAGACTACCCTAAGGTAGAGCCAGAGATGTAGTCTTAAGGAATAAACCTAAGACTCAGAGGTTGACAAGAGATCAGACTCAAGTCCAGAGAAGCAGGAATGAGCAGGAACTAAGACGATATTCAAACTGAGGAGATACCAGAGTGTTACAGGAGTTTATATACTGTAGGTATCATGTAAGTAATCAGTCAGCACAGTAAAAGCTATGCCTGAAGCATATGGAAAGTCTATTAGTAAGTGTACAACAGATCAAAGAAATGAAGTCGGAAATGAAGTGCAGACAGACGGATCAGTAAGCAAAGCGGAAAGGTGTACAACCAGTAACCAGAGAGCAGTATTCTAAAAGGAGATAGGTGTGAGTCTGGAGATGAAAATGAAGCACTGGGCAGACAACAGGACAGAGATCCAGACTTTCATAGGGGAGAATCCGGAATTCTGGGTCCGGAGGTACAGGATATGACAGAAACACGATCTTGGAAAAATCAGTAGAACTATGTACAGTTGCAGAGCATTATAGTAGTATGTAGTCAGATTGGTGCTCATCATAATCTGATTTCATTGATTTCAATGATGTCTAAATTGACTTGAAACTGAAAGATGTTTATTGAGACAAAGTTAGGTCATTGAAACAAGCCTTGGGATCTAGATCTCAAGCTACAATGAAATCAGCTTTGATGGTTGCAGCCAACTTGCTGCCAACAGCTAATATTGCCAACTGGGTTGAAACTTTCATTGAAAGGCACAATTGTAACCAAACTGTAACATAAATTGTATACTCTTTCATTGCAACACATTGCAAGGGCGGTGCCATGAAACCCGAATAGGAAATTTCCGACAAAGAAAAGGGTCAAACAATGAGTCATCAACTACACAGTTGATTGATCTTGTCAGCCAGCAATGGATGGTGCCACCAACTGCTCCCTGATATTGTGAATATGACACATTGGGTGACTATCCATAGGCCAAATAATGTAGAATAGATTATGACGGACTTTGAAACATATCTGCAAAAGATCATCTGTACAGAAAACCAAACCATAACGCACATGATTAGAATAATCTAGATTTTGTTGGCACTCCAATGGATGATCTGCTACTACAGTATACTCTGATGGACGACGCAGAGGAGATGGCTCTTCTTGATGATGAAGAAGACGCAAAAATGTTAGCAGCCATCCTGGTTGCTGGAGTTGAGCTTGCTCAACTCAATCGTATTGAGACTCGGAACCCTGGACGACCCTACCTTTGCCATGCCCAACTCCTTCCTGATCCACGTCGTGATATGCCGTGGCAAGCATTGTACCAGAGTCAGAATGATTGTGCTTTCATCACAACCATGGGCATTGATGTTCAAACATTTGGACTAATCCTTACATCCGGTTTTGCCAGTCAGTGGTATGAGAAGCCTATCACATGTATCAATGTCAATTTGTATGGCATTCCGCGCCTGAATCGGTGTTCGCTTGATGCCACTGGAGCCCTTGGGCTCATACTCCACTATCTCAACTCTACCATGCACGAGACCAGCCTCCAACAGATTTTTGCACTGATTCCAGCCACCGTTTCTCGCTACCTCACTTCTGGACTGCCCATGCTGCTACAGACCCTCCGTTCTATGGCTGATGCCACCATTCGATGGCTACGGGGATTTGAGTTCGAGTGTTGTAGTACCCTTGTGGTTGCACATCACCCATGGTTGCAAGGTGCTTTCAGAAGCATCGACAGGCTCAAACTCCCCGTTCAGACTTCTGAGGATATTGATATTGAGAATGCTACCTACAATGGGTGGCTTTCCGAACATTTTGTTAGTTCGGTCATAGCATTTTCTGCTGAATGTGCGTTTTCTCATCTTTCTTCAACCATTTGTACTCAATTGTCATTTTACAAAGGTGTCATGATCACAGCAAGGACCAATGCTCCTGGCAGCTGGCATGATTCTCGTCTTGCATCTCACATTTATACTCAGCTTTGACTCAGCACACCTCCCGACTATTACTTTGTTGCAGATACTGCCTTCCCTCATGGCTTGACATCCATTGATGGGCGCATTCATGCACCCCTCAAACACGGCCAGGTTTTACATGGCTCAACTGTCAAAATCGAGGAGCATATGGTATTTAATCGTGAACTACTATCTTACCGTCAAACAGCAGAATGGGGCATGTGAGGTATTCAAGAGGCCTTTGGAAGGCTGCACATACCGCTCGACATCTCCAACCAAGAAGCTTGCAGTGACCTTATTGAAGTATGTCTTCGGCTGCACAACCTGTGTGCCATACGTGTCAGTATCAACCAGATACGGACTGTGTATATGAAGCATTGGCAGGCTACTGAGGATGACCTGGATGTGTGGCAAGACTTTGAAAACATGTTGTTTTCAGAGCAGAGGAAGAAGGATCGAGTTTCACACTTCCATGTTACTTTAGAATACCAGTAGATGAGGCCGACGAGACAGAACAAAGACAGCAAGGTACATTGGCACCCTAAATACAATACTGGCAGCATGGTACATTGGTACCCTAAACACTACATGACTACCATAGCACAATCAAATCTCTTGTGACCCTTCCCTTTGAACAGCCTTGCAAGGCTCATCAGCCAAGTCCTTGAAGTATGGATGATCAGCATACTTGAGATGGCTGGAAGGGCCACACCTTTGAAGGCGGGGTGGCTTGGGCGCCTCAGATGCAGTACTTCCACCCTCATCAGTAATCCACTTCATGGATCCCCCACCCTCTGGAAACCACTCTTGATGCAGGTTCTTCCATTTCAGCATCCGAATGTGGTGACGATGCATGGATCCATTCATCTCCATCATTTCGATGGCAAGCTCTGCCCAGTCTCGTTCACTGTTCGACATTGTACATGCAAGTGTGCAAGTCAAACAGTTGACCGCACATGGTTTCCAACGTGGCTTGCAAATCACGCAGCTGCTGGCCTTGGGTGAGCAGTTGTGTGGTAGCAAGGCTGTGATTGGCCCATTCTTCATCATGGTTACACTGGGCAGCTGGGTCGAAAGCACTGGAAAGGTGAGTGAGAAGATCAGTGGCTGCAGCTCCTCGAGCATTGTGACGTGGAATAGGTGCATCTGTGTGAGCAGTGGAGCGTACAATGGCAGTGTGTTGAATTGGAGGGGAGGCATGATATGGCTCATCCTGGTCTGATGCGACAGAATGATTGTTGTTGTTGTTGTCATCAATGTTCTCATTCTCGAAAGCATTGAAGTCCAAGTGATTCAGGTCATGGGTTCCGGCGCGCTCATTGATAAGATGGTCAATGTGATGGGCATGTGTGACTTGTGGAGGGCAAACACCATCTCCAGTCGGCTTGTGGTC